CATAATAACACATTGCTTATGTTAATACTTACCCTTGAAAAAAAGAGACATTAAAATCTTTTTAAAAAGCTACGAAGATACTCAAATGTTCCTAAAAAAACTGTAAATGATTACAAAGTCAAATTTTCAAAAATTTATGATTTCTAACAATGATTAACACTGATGCTTTGGTGTATACAGTTTCTAAGACCTTTGTAACTATTCTTAGTCAACTAGAGGATTCCTAAAAAGTTAATTTCAACTTAATCAAGCACCTGAAATAAGGTTAAGACATATATTAATTAAAATAACTACAAGGTATTAAAATACAAACAGTGAACACAAAATGGACAGTCATCTATATATCTATCACAGATAAAGGTTTCAAAAACAGATCAAAATTGTATATATATATCCTATAAAACACATGTACATTTAAGAAATATTTTATATTTATAAAATATAGCTATAGAAATGGTTTTAAAATACTATTTGTATTTTTTGATAATAAGAGGTTTGTTTATAAAAATTTACATTACTATATGGTTAGAACTGATTAGCATTTAAATAAAATGTATAACACCATCAAATATCATGAAATATGATTAAAAACAAAAGAAAAGGAAAGTTTAACAATCAACAAGATATGTTTGTAAAACATGTATGCCCCCTATCGGCAGCCAATTTGTCATGTGATCAGGTTATTATGCATGACTTCTGACCCAGTGAACAAGCAATTAATAAGGGTTATCTAGTATCTACTGGTCATGACTAGTCACAAGGTAATAATTATTGTGACCCCATAAGTTGTGTGCAGCAATTAAAGTGATTAAAAATCTTACCAAATAATATATACATAAATTTTATGAATCACATAGGCCTCATTAATGACAGCTTAGTTGTTATATTACATAAGACCTTCAAGGCCTCATTAATGACAGCTAAGTTGTTATATTACATAAGACCTTCAAATGTGTATACCAAAAGCACATAAAAATATCAACCAAGGCAACTTGAGTTGTTGAGTTATTGGTCAGAAACGGTCATTAAGTACAAGGTCACTATGACATTGACCCCTTGACCCCAAAATCAATAGGGGTCATCTACTGGTCATGACCAATCATCATACCAAGTTTGAAGTTCCTAGGCCAAAAGGTTCTTTAGTTATTGATCGGAAACCGTTTTTACCTACAAGGTCAATGTGACCTTGACCTTTGACCCCTTGACCCCAAAATCAATAGGGGTCATCTGCCGGTCATGACCAATCATCATACCAAGTTTGAAGTACCTAGGCCTAAGCCTTTTTAAGTTATTGATCGGAAACCGTTTTTACCTAAAAGATCAATGTGACCTTGACCTTTGACCCCTAAATCAATAGGGGTCATATGCTGGTCATGACCAATCATCATACCAAGTTTGAAATTCCTAGGCCTAAGCATTCTATAGTTATTGATCAGAAACCGTTTTTACCTACAAGGTAAATGTGACTTTGACCTTTGACCCCTTGACCCCAATATCAATAGGGGTCATCTGCTGGTCATTACCAATCATCTTACCAAGTTTGAAGTCTCTAGGCCTAAGGGTTCTTTAGTTATTGATTGGAAACAGTTTTTACCTACAAGGTCAATGTGACCTTGACCTTTGACCCCTTAACCCCTAAATCAATAGGGGTCATCTGCTTGTCATGACCAATCATCAAACCAAGTTTGAAGTTCCTGGGCCTAAGCGTTCTTTAGTTATTGATCGGAAACTGTTTTTACCTACAAGGTCAATCTGACCTTGACCTTTGGCCCCTTGACCCCAAAATCAATAGGGGTCATCTGCTGGTCATGACCAATCACCATATCAAGTTTGAAGATCCTAGGCCTAAGCGTTCTTTAGTTATTGATCGGAAACCGTTTTAACATACAAGGTCAATGTGACCTTGACCTTTGACCCCTTGACCCCAAAATCAATAGGGGGTTATCTACTTGTCATGGCCAATCACCATACCAAGTTTGAAGATCCTAGGCCTAAGCGTTCTTTAGTTATTGATCGGAAACTGTTTTTACCTACAAGGTCAATGTGACCTTGACCTTTGACCCCTTGACCCCAAAATCAATAGGGGTCATCTGCTGGTCATGACCAATCAACATACCAAGTTTGAAGTTCCTAGGCCTGAGGGTTCTTTAGTTATTGATCGGAAACTGTTTTTACCTACAAGGTCAATGTGACCTTGACCTTTGACCCCAAAATCAATAGGGCTCATCTGCTGGTCATGACCAATCACCATATCAAGTTTGAAGATCCTAGACCTAAGCGTTCTTTAGTTATTGATCGGAAACCGTTTTAACATAAAAGGTCAATGTGACCTTGACCTTTGACCCATTGACCCCAAAATAAATAGGGGTCATCTACTGGTCATGACCAATCACCATACCAAGTTTGAAGTTCCTAGGCCTAAGGGTTCTTTAGTTATCACTCGGAAACCATTTGGTCTACGGACCGACGGACGGGACGGACCGACAAGTGCAAAGCAATATACCCCCTCTTCTTCGAAGTGGGGGCATAATTAATGATCACTTAAGAATAATGTGAACTGAATTCAAATATGTATATATGTATGTTAAAATTGAAATAAGAAAGTCTTTTTTTAATGGTCAATCATAGAACATGTTAAGCTTTTACATACATCATAATAATGTTCAGGCTATATATTGTTTGGTTTATATATTGTCTAATTAACCACACAGGGTAAATCGCTGAGATTCTTTTGCGCTCATATCTCTTCTATTCATAACTCTGACCAATGATATATCTATATTAAAACCATAATATAACAACTTATAACTGTATATCTTAGTGGAACAAGAGCCGGTTAAACCGGGTGATGCTCCCCGAATAGGTTTTGGACCTTCAAGGAAGCGACCCAAATGTTGCGCGCGACACGTCGTCTCAATATGGTGATCATTTCTGTGAAATATTTTTAAAATCCGACTTCAAATAAAGAAGTTATGGACCGATCACGATTTTGCTGCAAGGTCATGCTGTGACCTTGACCTTCAAGGTAGCGAGCCAAATGTTGCGCGCGACACATCGTCTCAATATGGTGATCATTTCTGTGAAAAAGTTTTAAAATCCGACTTCAAATAACAAAGTTATGGGCTGGACACGAATTCTGGACGTACGTACGTACGTACAGACGGACTGACGGACAACCTGACGACTATATGCTCCCCCGAAATTTTTCGGGGAGCATAGTAAATCAAGTTTATATGTGTAGTTATCAAATCATAAAGTGCTTTATTACCTTGCCTCACACATCACAGTTATTCACATTTTGATCATATTCTTTTTGATTATAACTCTTTTAATGTAGCCAGTTATATATGTCATTAAGTAGGAACTAGATTTTGAGAGATAGAAACTCATACTAGTGTTTTAAATTGGTAACTTTAACCTAGTACAGAGTACTTTATATACAATTTCTTCTTCTTAATTTCAACAGGTTCTTTCAAATTACAAGATTCACTTAAGAAAGTATAAAATGTTTTTACTAAAACAAAATGTGATTTAGTTATTGAAAACACACCATCAATAATAATATAATAACCTAATAAGTTAAATAGTGCTTAAAAAGAGAAATATTAAAATTACTATTTCAAAAATTCTCATTTAAAAATTCTTCATTGATATATATTTTTCTCTAAAATGTTATGATTTGAATATATAGAGGATGTTGAATTAGTGTTAATTAAATACTGAATTTATTTAATGAGTTGAATAAAATTATATTATGCAAGCTTCTGCAGAGTTGAATAATATTATCTTATTCAACAAGTTCAATAAATTCAGTAATGAACTTACACCAATTTAATATTCTAGTTATCACATACCAAAAATAAAGAGTGTTTAAAGCTGCACGCCTCCAGTTGAGCAAAAATATTTTGATAAAATAAAACATGAGAAAAATGTAATAGAATTTTAGAAAAGGTATAAAGATTCAAATTCTAGTAAAAATTTCATGTTATGTGCGATTAATGACCGCATTTTTCAGTATTTATAACTATATTTCTACTGCGTTACTAACGCAGTAAGGGCTATTTTTGCATTTTTTGACCTCTTTATAGTAATTAAAATAGGTTGTAAGTGCCATTGATAATGTGGAAATTGCATTCTTTTGGTAACTTTTCAATATTATATTGTTAAATACATTTTCAAATTTTCATGAAAATTAGCATAATTCTGGAGGCGTGTTGCTTTAAAGTGAAAAAGAATCATTTTCAGTGCCCTTAAGTAAAACTGTACAATCATAACTCTAACATTTAGCATATCTTTACACTGTTTGTGTAACCCAAATGACTTAACATCAAAATATATGCATGGTTGTGCAATATCATTTTTCCGGAGTCGCAAAAGTGCACAGGTCTGTGATAAATCATATTAATGAGAATATTTCTAAAGCATTCCCAATTTCTTGCATAGGATATTTCAGAAACAATATGAGAAACATTGATATGTTCACATATTACTCTAGATATAAACATGTAAAAATTGTACAAAAAAGAATGTAAATTAATAATCAATACAAAACAGAACAGGTCAATGAGATGTCTCATAAGGTCTGCAGCATAACTAAATCTAAATCATTATATAAATTCACTAACAAACTGAAATATAAACATACTGAGATCTTTAAAATAACAAAACTTGCACTAATATTTCTTAACATTCATTTTACTTTGAGAAAGGAAAATTTTTCATAAACACTTATAATTTTGGATTAAAAAAATAATTAAAATTGTTAACTGTTGAGATGAAATAATAAATATGAGCCGCGTCACAACAAAACCAACATAATGAGTTTGCGACCAGCATGGATCCAGACCAGCCTGCGCATCCGCGCAGTCTGATCAGGATCCATGCTGTTCGCTATCAGTTTCTCTACTTGTTATAGAGTTTGTAAGTGAACAGCATGGATCCTGATCAGACTGCGCGGATGCGCAGGCTGGTCTGGATACATGCTGGTCGCAAACACACTATGTTGGTTTTGTCGTGACGCTGCTCATATATTAGATCTGTCTGATCTCTTATCATACATTCAAAGATTTGTAAAGTGGGAAAGAGAGAATAATACATATATACATGAACTTCCTTCTTTTCATTGCTTTTTTGTTTCAACAATTTAAAATGTCAGAACAATAACATAATTTCACTGCTCTGCTTCTCTTAATCATTTACCACTGTATGAAGTCTCATCAAAATCTCATACATATTAAATGAAAAATGATCCATGACCAACCAGTCAACTGACTGATTCAAAGATCAGTATAAGTATATTATATCTTTTCTTTCACATTTAATAATATTCTTAAAAAACATCTCATTCCATCATAAAGAAAGTGTTTAAAGGTTACACGCAATGAGTGAATGTTAAAATTGCAAATAAGTCTGAAAAAATATATAAACTACTTTGCCATTTAAAATTATTATGTGCTGCTTTTAGTTTATTGTTCAATATTACAATGAAACTTACCATTTCACAATATGCCCTTTTTAAGTAGTCATGGTTTTGTTAAATGCCAGGTATTCTTCATATAAAAACATTAATAATATGATATGATATGTTAGATAAATATCAGGGATATGGTCTCTCTGGTGATTCTGTTTGACTACGTCCCAGCAGACGATCTGTATTGTTTGTTACATTGCCTAATAAATGCGTAACTTCCTGTAAGTAGTAGTCAACCTTGCGTATAACAGCCTCAGTGGGCATGTGTTCTTGCTGAATCACACCCCTCTCATCTTTTATTGCACCAGCTCCTCTGATTGGTCGCTTCACTTGACCTTGAATGCTGTCCAGCGGCACTCGTGACTTCAACTCACCGACATATTGTCTGTAAAAACGAAAGAGTTGTTTTATCTTCATGCTTAAAAACACTGATAATTACCAAACAACATTTATCGATAATATTTACATATCTTGCCATTTCTCATCCTTATAGGTGCATGCCTTCAGTCATGAGTCAAAATGTTTCAAGAAAACCAAGCTTGAGAAAAATGTACTAAGATTTTAAGAAAAGTAAAACGATTCATGTATACTACATGTATTGTGAGATTAATGACTTATTGTGCAGTATTTATCACCATATCTCTACTGCATGACTAATGCAGTAAGGGTTATTTTACTTATTTTGACCAATTTTTGACAATTCATATTGATTTAAGTGTTGTATTACATTTATTGTTTGAAACAAAAAATTTTATTTTTGAATACATTTTCTATTTTTAAATGAAAATTAGCATGAAGCTGGAGGCATGCTGCATTAGAAAAAATTTACTTTTTACTTTCTTTATTCACAAACTTGCTAAGAAATATGAAACTAGCATTAACACTCTTTTAAAAAACATGTGATGAATTCATTATCATTTAGAAATATTGCAAAACATACTGCTACAAATCCTATCTTGCTGAGCTAATAATTACATTTTGAAGTAGGTTATATTCCACAAATGACAATGAAAGATATGACATGAGTGATTAACAGTGAGCAATATACTGGAAATGATATATATTTGTTTACTTATAATGAGTGACTCTCAATATGTGACTTACACTGAGTAATATACAGTGAAACATACATAAAGAATGATACTAGTATTCAGTGATACAGTTGAACTTCGTTCGCTCGAACTCGGAGGGCCTGTGCAAATTTGTTCGAGAGATCGGTAGTTCGAGCCAACCGATGTTGAACTATTATTACGTTGATCATATGCCTAAAGGTTTTCCTAGCTTACATCGGTCGAATGATAAATGCATCAATATAATTGTTTGTTAGTATATCTGTTCGTGGAATATTTCAATATTCAGCAAAATTATTATCCCAGTGTTTAATTAAGTATTAACGGTACGGCTGTTTAACTTTATTCATGCAAATATTGTTTAATTGAGTTGGATTGGGCAATCACAATACCAATTCTTGTTGAACAATGTATAAACTATATATATATATGTTTATAAAATGGGAATTAATTTAATTTTATTAAAAATAAATAATGAATAATATTTAAATTAAATATTATCAGCAGCAATCTATTTGTAGTCATTTACTTAAATAAACACACATAACAAGTTATCATTCATATTAAATAGGATAACGATGTTCGATTTCACTTTACATGAACCATCGGTTGTAATTAAAGCCGTCCGGGTAAACGTCATTCTTTATTGGCATGCATCATTTCCACTTATTCACAAGTTTATTTTCTTTTTTATCGTTACCATAAACGGCAAAATCAACATTATTATCAAATACAAATAATCGGTTATAACACCTCTTTTTTTGTATCAATTAACCTTAATTACCTTTGTCACGATCCCGAGGTGTTTAAAAACCAGTGTCGCCGAACTGTCCATCTTATTTAGGACAATACCTGACTTGTCCTTTTGTGTTCGACCGAAAAGGTGTGATTTTCACAATAATTTCTGCGAAGGGACCAGAAGATCAGTGAGAGTTCGAGCGATCGGTGTTCGAGCGATCCGATGTAGAACAATATATATTATATAGGAATTTTGCCGGGACTGGGCGATGAGTTCGAGCGAAGGGAAGTATTCGAGCGATCCGAGTTCGAGCGAACGAAGTTTAACTGTATATAAAGTGAAAAAAACAGTAATTGATTGACAGTGAGTGAAATAATAATAGATAAGTAACAAAGATGTATATTGTAACCGATTTACAAAGAGTGATAGAGGCGTCATGGCCGAGAAGTTAAGAAAGTTGTCAAACCACTTGCCCCTCACCGCTGTGGGTTCGAATCCTGACAGCGACTTTGGATTTTTTCATGTGAGGAGCTCTCCAGCTAACTTACGGAACGTCAGTGGTTCTACCCAGGTGCCTGTTTGTGTTTGAAATAATGCACAGAAGGGCACCTTAGGTCTTCTCCCACTAGTAAAGCTGAAACGTCGCCATATGACCTATACTGTGCCAGTGTGACGTAAAACCCAATTAAACAACCAAACAAACAAAGAGCGATAGACAATGAGTGATATGAATCATAAAATCTAAACAAGCTATCATAAAGTTTAACATACATCATTTTTCTGACCACATCTTTGAAGTCCTCACATTGCTGCCTAGTCTCCATGATTATACGTTGTACATGTTGCCACGCCCCTCTCTCCTCCATTAAACATGACTCAGTCACATTACGAAGTTGCTGTTCTTGTTTGACCTGAGCCTTGAGGCTTTCCAGTTGTTCCAATGCCTGTAATAAAATATTTCAACTATTAGAGTTAATCAAAACTGTCTGTCCACACCAACCTATTTTCTTCAACACTAGGCTTGAATTCTATGGACTTATACAACAAATTACTTCAAACAAAAATTTCTGATCCTAGACCAGATAAATCTATACATGTATATTGAAGTAACATGATGTGAATGCCAGTAATTTCCTGCTATAATGGGCAAACTCCAATCAAATGTAGAACTAACAGTCCTCAGTAGTTAGAATTTCATGTATTTTTATGCCTGATGAAGAGTATTATATTACTCAAAACTAGTAGCTAATAAAATCTTGAAACTGGACCTTTTATAAATCATTAAATGTAGAACTAGATTAAGCATAGTAGCAGACTCCTATTAATACATTATGTTTGATGGACAGGTCTTTATTAACATTGACCCTTTGTTCAGGTAAACATTGGATTACAACAAAGAAATGAGATTTTTTTAATAAGATATTTCTGATCATTCATTATATGAATAAAATTTTCTAAATGTACAACAATATTAATAATACATTCTCTAGGTACATAACTAGCAATATTAAATAGTAATATGATGTTGTTTCTTTTGAGAACATCTACTTATAATTTACTTGAAGCTAAAAATTTGCTTTTTTCGCTATTTTATAAAATGGCATGTGTGTTTTACAACAAAACGGCAATACCAAGATTTAAACTTGTACTTACCAGCTGCAACTGCAGACCCATTTCCTGCATTTCACCCTCAAGGCGGTCAGCATACACCTGTTCTAGCTCCCCAACAGATATCTTAGCTTTACTGTGCCACCTTGCTATAGCATTCATCATCTTCTTTCTTGGACCAAACAATCTGTTACATCAAATTCAAATGATTTTTAGAACAAAAGTAACAATTTTTTCACTGAAGCCGCAGCATGCAAAGAAAAATAAACGCACTGCATAAAATTATAATTTCAATAACAAATCCAAATTTCCAAGAAAATGAGATATTTCAACATATACATCATTTAAAAAGCAAGTCATTGGTGGAGAAGTCAGAGCACTGGACAAAGAGTTTTCAACCTGCTATCTAAAATGTGTGCCATAAAAGTAAAATCATGTAAAATAAGAGCTTTGTTTATTTCACATTTTCTCTAATGCCTAAATTTTCAGACTCTCCAGTTTTTCTAACATATCTTCTTGCTGGTTTTATGTCATATCAACACTTTATTACTGGTAGAGGAAGACTTCATATGCCCTCTCCACTAATGAAGGAAGACAACAGGTGCCCCCTACATTAGAGGCGAAATACTATAGGTGCCATTCCACTGGTATAGGAAAACTCCAGGTATGCCCTCAACTGCTGTAGTTACAAACACATTAAATAAAGTAAAGATTTGGTTTAAACATATTTATTTAAACTCGATTGCGAAACAAGTTCTTGCAACTTATATTAATCACTTTCGAGTGAAGTAAAGATTAAATATCTGTATGTTAAATTATTACTGATTGTTAAACTTACTTGATTCCTATTTCTTTCAGATCATTATCTGTGAGTGAAAGAAATACTTGGAGGTCAACATCTTGTTCATCAAACGTCGGTAAATACTTTGACAAGCCAAGTTGATCAAGCAGGGTAGGTAAATCAAGGGGAACTGAGTCTTTCTGTAACAGAAATTCCTTTAACTTTGAATAGACTATTTTAAATTAAATATCCAATTAAGAAATTCAGCCGGGTTAAAATATCTTCAAAAGTAAATAATAATTTGAATGAATAATTAAGAATACTGTGCAAAAGTCAGTAAGATAGGGCAGCATTGGTTATATATTTTAACATAAAACTAATGGTTTATTACTGAAGCATTTCTAACTCTACATATAGGTTGATCATAGGTAAATATTCACACAACTTACCATTTTTTCTATAAAGGCAGCATTAGATGAGGGTATTGATTCTTGTTTTTCCACAAGCCCCTGTGGGACTATTCCTGTGGGAGGTAACTGAGAGGCTACATGGGGATACAGCGATACATTTGGAGGGCCTTGGTATGGGTTTATTGGATAAGGATTCACAGCAGGGGCAAAGCCTGGAGGTGCAGAAACTCTAGTACCCTGATTGCCATGGTGACTACTTGGTGTGCTGTGGGAACTAGAAGATTTATACCCATCAGGTCCAGTATTTAAAATATTCAGAGCAGAAACAGGTGGAATACTATGGTCTGCCACTGAAATAATTGCTGAATCTGCAATAGCTGGACTTTGTTGAAGGAACTCTTGAGCTGGCCTAGGGTCATAGTTCTTCAGATTATTTGCTACTTGTTCAATTAATTCAGCTCCAGAGAAATGCTTTGGTTCATGACGGCTGGTTTTCTGCTCTACAGATACTGGATATTGCATATGAGTATCAGATTTTTTCCCATGTCCAGGATTATAGCCTTCAGCGTGACCTAGACCTGGTTTGTAACCATGACCAGGGTTGTGTCCTTGACTTGGGTTGTGACCTAGTCCTAAATGTTGACCATGAAATGATTCATGGTCCAGACCAACATTTTGAACTGGACCAGCATTTTGAGCTTGATCTGTATTAGAATTTTGACAAGAACCATTAACTTTACCAGGATTGTGACCATGATCTTTACTTAGGCTATGACCTTGGACATTTGTGTGACTTTCATGTTGAGTATGACCTTCATTAGAATTGTAACCTTGACCAGGTTGGTGGACAAGATTTGGATCATGACCTTTGCCTGGATTGTGATTCTCACTAGAACCCTCTTCAGATTCGCACACATCACCAGTGTTTTCTGGGTTGGAATATGAAATATGTTCATGTTGTGGTGATTTAGCATGTTTATGTTTATTAGGAAGGTACTCTGGTTTGATTGCAGCCTCCTTTTCATTGTCTTCCGTTGCCTGATTATCTGATTTAGGAATTTCAACAATGGTTTCTGGGAGAGAATTTGAATTATGAACACTGTCTATCCATTCTGAGACAGAATTTTTCATTACTTCTATCTCATTCACTTTCTCAGTTGTCAGTCTTAATTCTTTTGATTTTTGACTTTGTAATTTTCTTTTCTCCATTTCTCCTTTTCTATCTAAATTAGGATTAGTCTCAGGATCATCTGGTCCTTTCTCTGCATTCCCACTGACATCAGATTTTTTCAGAGTCTGTGAAATTTGATTGGTACCCTGATTCTCCTCAAGTCCCTCGTCAGAAGAACTATCTCCGCTGTTACCATGGTGATGTGAGTCTCCACATGATGACTCATGAGGGAATTCATCACTGTCTAAGCTATCCTCACGCCGGATACCAAATGCAGCAGCCAGGCCTCCACTAGATCCTGAACTACTTTTTATTGTGAGGGCACCAGTCTTAGAGAAAGCATTGCTGTCATCTTCTGGTTCATTATAGTCTATAAATAAAATACAACATGTCATTCATGGATAAATGTATTTCTCAAGGTATCTTACAACAAAACAACTACAAACTTTATTAAACAAGAGCTAATCAAGGAGCAGCCAGCTCCTCTGCCTACTGCACTTTTCTAAGTGATCAATTATATGCAAATTTGCTAAATAAACAGAGTTATCATATTTAACTTTGTCTTTATATGGACATGCAAGACAGAATTTATCAAAATACATTCATTTATCAAGTTTTAAAGTCAAAATCTAAGTTTCTGACCATACACAAAAAATTCTGGAGAAAGGTCACTGTAACCATGACCTTTGACATTTTGATACAAAATGACTATAGAATGGGTAGTAGGACTCTTCAAGCTTTAAAGTTTGAAGTCCAAAGGTCAATGCACTTTGATTTAATTGCCAGTTATTATTATAGCCTCCTGTGACCTTGACATTTGAAATAAAATGGATGTGGCAAGTAGAATTCATCAAGATACATGTATATAAATGTATAAAGTTTGACCGCAGATCCACTTTTTTTTAATGTGGAACTATAGATTATTTCCTACAAGTGCCTTTATTTATTTATTTACTCATTCATTTTGGACCATACATATATTGAACAAAACAAATCTGCACTTATATACACATGTACATAGCAAAGCAATACAATAAATAAATTGATTGAACAACATACATTAACTAAAGCTAGAACATACCATTCTTTCATATTAATATTAACATAGATGAGAAGTTGAAACAATTCCTACAATCATATAAGCTAATTACCTCTGCTACCAGAACTATCCAGTTTATAATCATCCTGGTTGATAGGTGATGTTACATCTCTATAGGAGAGTTTCTGAGGTTGATCTTTAGTCCCATCTTCTGGGAATGTTACATATCCTTTAGGTACTTCACCTTCTATAATAATTAACCAGAAATTATAATTCATTCATGAAATCAGGGGTATACCCTTCTTTGATTTAAAATGGCTGCTAATAATCTTCATACATATGTTTACAACAATGGGCCTTTAATGTTTAAGATATAAGATATTTGGTAAGGTTTTAAAACTGCTATGCAACATTCCACCTGAACATAAAAGAGGAGCTTTTCCAAACATTAACAGGCACCTGTATATAGATAAAATCAATGATCTTAAAACATAGAAAATGAAAAGCAAGCTATATCAAGGCTTTTAAAAAAATAAGGGTAAAAACCCTATATCGAAATTATTTTCTCTAAAATTTGTAAACAATAAAATTACGTTGGTCCCATAATCTTGAGGACAATTCTCGAAAGACATGTAACATAGAATGTACCTTTTTTGAACACACGTGGATTTTGGTATGCGACCTAACAAAATATTGTGTGACTATTTTATGTAGGAATTTAATTGTTTAGCAATGATTTCCTGCATATGCTATAGGAAAATATACAAATATATCTCCCTTATACACTTATTTCGGAATAATTCTTTTCAAAATTCATACAATAATTTGGAAATTATAGACAGTAGATATATAGCTTTATACACTCTAAGTCATATAACAGAGTGTATGATAAAACAAGTCCAAGATCATTGAAATATATGCAACATAGTTTCCATTTACCTTAAAGTTTAAGAGTTACAAATAAAAAATTTACCAGGATTTTTTTGTTGAGGTGGGTCTCTAGTTCTGTTTATTAAGCGAGCTATAGCTTGAGGTCCATCCATTATACTAGGGCCTCCACCTAAACCCTTGCCTCTACCTCTGTTCTTGTTGCGACGAGAGAAAGTGTCATCAGATGAACTCAGATCTGGTTCTAACCCTGATAAAACAAGACTATGTTTGATTGATTTACATCATATACATAAAGTAAACATATATATCTGTCTTGCTGAGAAATGGTGGTTAAGAGCAAATTTTGTACAAAATTTTAGTTTAACTTACTTGTATATACAACACAGTATGTGTTTTGCAATGCTTATTATTGTATTACTTGGGTTTATTGATCATGGATAATTTAGATTTTATAACAATATCACGAAATAGACTTACAGTACTAAATATTTACAAATAAAATGTAAAAAATTACAATAAATACAGCTTTATAACAATATTCATGAGTAAGACACAAAAACACGAAATTTTTACTATTTTTCTTCATGATCCAAAACAGACATTTCACCATTTGAATAAAGATAGGACAAACAGACCAAAACCAACGCAATTTTAAATATCAATACATGTTTTGCTTTATTAGCTTTGTCAGTTGATACATAAAGGAAATATTTGTTTTTTTTTAGATTAGATTTTTATAACACTAATAAACCCAATATTTCATTGAGGCCATATAAAAAAGGTGTACATACCTGCCTCTGCCCGCAGAGATGTAATTGGCATCACATGATTATCTATAAGACTAACTATCTTCATGTTTCCATTGATTAAAGCCAGAGATCTTGCTGTATCACCATTGTAAGCTTTAGCATTTACATTTACACCCTGAATATATATATATATATAAACATATAAAAACTTTCGAAACTTATGTCATAAAAAAATGTGCAGTCAAAAGACTTATTGATCGCAAATGTACTGTTATTGTGGGTTAATTATCAATTTCTGAAACATATTTTTTAGCCCAAAGGTTCTTTTACGTAAGAGGTTTTTTTTACAGAAGAATCTTTAAGTTTAACATCTTTGTTTTGGGATTTCAAAAGTGAAACAATAGCTTTAATACATATGTATGTGAAGAATGACCCCCATTGTGCATTATTTCATGCAAAGCCAGACACGAGTTGAACTATCAATCTTAATTTAATTATAACATCCTGATTATGTAAGTGTATATAATATTGAATATTGTCTACTTGTATTTCTACTGTTTACATATTCATTCAATCTATTCATGATTACTATGTTAAATTAAAAGGGGATAAATCCTCAGCGAAGATTCCCAATTCATACTTAAGTCTGCTTCTCTATTTATAGATGTTTGTTCTTCAATAACGGTAACTTATGATGTTGTAATACTTATACAAATATAACAAGAGCCATGTCAACATGGCCATCCCCCGCCGAATGCGTTTGCTCATTGGAAGAATGTATATGTTGTAGAGCGGAATAATTCCATTTAAAGAGGTCTTTTGGTAATGAAAACTGATGGCTATAGTGATTACAGATTTGAAACCTATGTGAATACTGATGGCTGAAAATAACAAAGGGCAATTACTGAAAAATAATGCAGGGTAGGTTATCATTTTTGTGTGCTGCATTCCTCCTCAGTAAAATCTATCCACATATGAAGTTTCAAGTTGATACCTCAAATACTTTTTGAGAAAAAAATTGAATTGAAAAATTAAGTATGAAAAAGAACAAAGGGCAATAACTCAAAAATTATAAAAGGTAGAGTTATCATTTTTTTGCAGTGCACACCTCCTGAGTGAGATCTATGCACCTATGAAGTTTCATTTTGATATCTCAAAGGCTTTTTGAGTTATGCTCTGGACAAAAATTAATTTTGAAAAATAACAAAGGGCAATAACTCAAAAATAATGCAGGGTAGAGTTATCATTCTTAAGCACTGCACTCCTCCTCAATGAGATCCATCCACCTTTAAAGTTTCAAGTTGATACCTCAAATACTTTTTCAGATAAGCTCTGGACAAAATAGCATGAAAAAAAGGGCAATAACTCAAAAATTGTAAAGGGAAGAGTTATCATTCTTGCGCACAACATTCCTCCTCAATAAGATCTATCCACCTATGACATTTCATGTTGATATCTCAAACACTTTTTGAGTTATGCTCCACTCGGGTGAAAAATTAGGTATGTAAAATAACAAAGGGCAATAACTCAAAAATTATGAAAGGTAGAGTTATCATTCTTGTGCACTGCACACCTCCTGAGTGAGATCTATGCACCTATGAAGTTTCATGTTAATATCTCATAGGCTTTTGGAGTTATGCTCTGGACAAAAATCAATTTGAAAAATAACAAAGGGCAATAACTCAAAAATCATGCAAGGTAGAGTTATCATTCTTGTGCACTGCACTCCTCCTCAATGAGGTCTATCCACCTATGAAGTTTCAAGTTGATAACTCAAAGTCTTTTAGAGATATGCTCCGGACAAAAATGTCGGACGGAAGGACGGACGGACGGAAGGACGGAAGGTCGGACGGAGACTATTTCTATATCCTCCGCCGAAATTTTTCGGCGGGGGATAATAATGATAAATGATATAATTACATGTTGTAGGAACAGCTGTAAGATAATCTCATGACCCTCAGCAGCTGCCTCCATAAATGGTGTCATTCCCATACTGGGTTCTCTGTAATCAATACAACAGTTTTAACTCTAGCCTTGCTTAACTCATGTACAGTCCAACCTCGATTATTCGAATTGCTTGGGACTGAAAATTTACTTTGAATAACCGATGCGTTCAAATAAACGAAATCCGAATATAGTGACAGACGACAACTATTCAAATTTGGCCATACGCCAATCGTTTACAACACACTTGTTTCAATTAATCAATCGAGAAAAATAAATATGTGGATTTGTCTTATATATGTTCATATGAATCTGATGACTTTAACATTGTCAACTGGTAATTTCTGGGGTTTTAATGTATAACAAAAATTACAATTATGCACAATGGTCTATAGCATAGAAAAGAGAAAAACAGAATCCCTAAAGAAAGCCCAAGACAGCAAAAATAAAAATGTTGCAGGCTCGGTTTGATTGAGCTTGTTCATGGATGCAACTTGGAAAGTGCAAGTTACAGTCCACGCCCCCTAGCACTGGCTTAAGCAGAATCCAGCATAAAGTAATGATAGATTGTACACAGATATGCAGGTTAGCCAAACTCTAAATTTGTGTGGTAAGTGAATTTGTATCAGCATTAGGACTTAAAGGGTATACATTGTATTCTATTCATTCATTCATTATCTTGTTCATCATTAATTTTATCATATCACTAAAACTTCAGTAGCTTACACAGAGTTCATGTTTGCTCCTTGTTTCAGCAGAAAACTGACCATGTTCTGATGTCCTGAGTATGTAGCATGAAATAATGCTGTCCAACCACGAGCATCACGAGACTCTAGTTCACCTCCTTGCTGTAAATTATGAAACATAACATGTTCAAGCATTTCAAATTCCTTTATAATGCATTCTAATGTGGTTTATATATTTTTATTAGCCTGCATTCATAACATCACGTAATTGCTTGACATCATTCAAATTAAAACTAAAAATTAAATGTAAGTTTTATTATATCCTTATAAAAACTATATCTGTGAATGTTATAATCAAATAAAGAGATACATGTATGCTTGTTCTGTATCATTATATGGAACTTTTTGTTCATGATTGTATTATATAATCAACAACTATTTCATGAAATTTTTTTTTTAGAGTCCTCCATTTCTAATCTCTAGTTTCTCTATCTCTAGGAGGTCATGTTTTTTTGTTTTTGTTTTTTTTTAAAGAGGAATTCTCACATATCAAAAATAAAAGAACATATTCAGTCAATATATGTAATTTTATTATTCAACCTAATAAATCTTTATAATATATGCTGTAATTCAATCATTAATTGTTAAAATTTAGGAGACATTATATGTCCAGATATTTCACTTATTTAAAGAATTTCTAACAATATTACTTACACTACATAGTAGACGTCCCACTCTATCATTACCACAGCTAGCTGCTAACATCAATGATGTCTCTTTTTTCTGGTTACGAAGATTTACACACGCCCCTTCTTCTAATAGGAGACTGACTATAGTTTCATGACCAATATAGCAGGCATACATCAAGGCAGTCCAGCCACCTTTGTTAATGTGGTCGATGTCAACCTCTCCTCTAATGTCAAATGTAAACAATATCATAAGTGTATGGATTTATAACAAAAACACTTGTTAAAAAAGACCCTGGATTTCATCACACTTCAGGTCTGGCACTACTATTTTTCTTGCAAACTTTCAAAACTGTTTCCAACTTAATGATTTAAGAATTAATTCATGCAAACGTGAAGCATGTAAATGGTTTGATCAACAATAAGTGAGTAAACTACATCAACCATATATTTATCTATCTATAAACCTTCTTGTTTTCTGTTTTTTTTTACTTTAATATACATGTATAGAGGATATATAAATCCTGTATTTATAGGAAAAAAATATGAATTTTCAGTTTATTATATACATTTTCTCTTTTTTGACACATTTACTACCTTAAATTTGTGTACTGACTGAATTTAGAAGAATGTAGTCCAACAAGACACCAGAAAGAAAATATGTTTCACTGTAGTGAAAAAGTAATCTTTACAGTGAAAAAACTGAAAACAAAATATGCATTTTTTTTCGTCAATATATCTCAATATTTCATTTTCTACCTATATAATAAATTCAAGTATATCATAATAATCACCTGACAATATGTGCCTTCACACAATCATATAGACCCAGACTTGATGCTGTATGTAAATCTAGAGGTATTGGCTCAAATTCTTCCTTTGATGTCTTGTTTCCTTTCCATACAGACAAACTTCTGTTAAGGAGCTCATTCTCAGAAGTATCATCTGACCCTTCAGTTTCAGCCATGGTCTGTAATCAAAATGATAATTATTAAATATATAAGTCATATTTCTTGATTATTAAAATATCATTATTAAATATCATGTTTAAGACAGTACACTTTTACTTCTGGAGTCCCCCAGTGGTTTATGCAGTGCTTGGACCCTTTCTCTTTCTTGCATACAGTAATGACCTTCCTCAAAATATCGGATTATCCTATCAAAAGTTAGCATATTTGCTGATGAAATTGCTATATACCTAACCTTAACATCAACTCAGCAATCAGAAACCATTCAAAAAGATTTAAATATATGTACCTTAGAAAAGTGGGATTTGGATTGGGACATTGACTTCAATCCATCTAAATGTAAATCAATCCATGTCACAAAGAGGAAACATCCTATACCAACTAAATATTCTCTTCATGGAATACATCAGAGGTGGTTACATCAGCCGAATACCTGGGTGTGGATGTATCAAATAATGTCTCATAGGGACAAGCACATGAACAGGTCAACCAAAAAGGCAAAGCAAAACTAATGGTTTCTTGCACTGTGATATTAACTCATTTAAGAAATTCAGTCCATAGCATTTAAGACCCTTGTTGCGTCTGAGGTCTGGTCCTAAAAAAAGTCAAATCTAATTGATCAGATAGTCTGTCCATGTTACTGCTTAATTATTATTCATTACTTGAACAAACATTATTTTTAATCCAGTTTCTACGCCATTCTATAATTAGTTAATTGCCATGAGCATCCAGTAAGTGCGTGATGTAAGGAAAACCCCTAGCCTGGTTGGTTGCTATTTATGTAAATACTTAGAATAGTAACACCCTAAGTTTATGCACTGAATGCCCTCGTGAATGATCAATCTTTACGATATTTCTTTTTACAGTAGTTTTCGTATCAAATAAGAGATATTTGGACAAGTAAAAGTAAAGTCAACGATTCTTGCTTCTTCCACCAAGATCATGCAAGTCGACAATTCTGGCTTACATGCGGTAATCGATAAAGCATTCAATTTTCGCTTAGATTCGGAGAATGATAAAAGTCGGCAAAAGTTGTTTGCAAAAATGTTATTTCAAAGATATATTGACATATACAACAGAAAATGATTTCATTTAGCACATTTTACGGATCTGTAATTGCTTTAAATTAGAGTTAAAAGTACCGCTTTTCCAGGTCTGTAACGAGATACGTACCGCAAATTCTCAGACTGTGGTTTACCGGTATACCGGTTAAACCGCGCACCTCTTTAATTTGTGAATTTTTTTCCAGAACTGTGAATAGGTTTATTGGACCTAGTGAGTATAATAAGTTTGAAAATTGCGAAGGAAAATTTGTGATTGTAAATGGAACTGTTATCATATAGTATCCCTTATGCAGAGCTCGAGATAATTTTTTTGGCCAAGGGGTTTTTACCCCTCAAAATCTAGAGTGAGGGGTAAAATGCAAGTTCTGCAAAAACTTAAGGGGTATAATCTGTCAAAAAAGCATTTTGCATTTTTGTAAACAAATTAAACTCATTGTCTTTGTTTGTTTGTTTGTTTATTTTCTTTTTTTAGAACAACTTTTACAAATAAAATACTAATTCAATGTAAAACAATTATAAAACATGCTCTGTAAAGTCAGACTACCAAACAATTATAAAACATGCTCTGTAAAGTCAGACTACCAGAATATATGGAACTCAAGTTTAGGAAACACAGCAAAATTATCAGGGCTTCCATTTTCAAAATTTGGAAGTCAAAGACTTCAAAATCTCTGATATTTGAAGTCACATTTTATAGGTAAAGAAGGAAAAGTATTAGATTTTGGAAGTCACAAGTGTAACTTTGACGCACAAATTTTGAAAGTGATGCCTATTTTGGATTTCCTATGCGTACTTCACGCTGATAGTGATACACAAGCTATCTGGAACTCTGCTTATGAAAGGAAAATAAACACTTAAAAGGCATAAATCTCCTTTTGTTTCACTTTTTAACTTCTCTAACTGACACTAATTGGCTTGGTGTGCCAAGAGTCACACAGGGTGTTTAAATAGACACACAGAAGAAATACAGACAGGCTGCTTAATCCTGGGATGGGACGAGACAGAATTATGTAGGTGGGTGGGGTACAAAGCCAAAGGACGGTTTCATATGGATAATAATGTCAAATGATTTACTGTTACATTGATGTTGGTCTAAGTTTAGACTAAGCTTAGGTTATTGTCAAAAACACATTACTATATGAATGACATTAAGCCTAATTAACACTAGACAGATAAAAATTAAATTTCGCAAACCTAACAAACAATTTTGCGAAAAACAACTTAAAGAGCATTTGCAATCGATTTTTATTTACTCCATAACAAAAAAACACGTGATACATTCATGATAAACTTACTGTAGAACTCAGGAATTAGCAAAAATTCCCGTAACACCAAAAATTTCATAAATATTATTTTGACATTTCTTTGCTTTTGTTGTTGTTGTTCTGGATATTGATGTAGAATTTACGAATGTTTAAAATATCACTGTCATCCCCTGTGTGACCACGTATGATCTACAGGTACCCTTATCTTCGTAACATCTGTAATATTAATAAAAACTAGATCATCTTCATAAGAAAGGATTCTCCCTCTATTGACTACATGTAATTATGTCAGATTACATGTACAAGTTAGCATTGTTCATGTAACCTATTAATAAGGGAGAAAACTCATAAAATATGTATGAATTGTTCCCCTTGGAATTAAGTTTACCACCACTCAACAACTTCCTGCAAAACAATATAACATCTTTAATTTGCCCTACATCAAAAATATCTTATTAGCAACTATGATGTCAGTCATAAAAATATAAAACTTGTATCAAGATATGGCATTCTTAACTTCTTTTCATTACATTTCAAGTATAGGTTGCATGGGGTAGACAGACGTTTCACTATTGAGACGGTTCACACCAAGACGGTTCACACCAAGACGTTTCACTCCCTTTTTATACCAAAATTATTTTGATACTTATGATATACTAAAAAAGACCTAACATGTTGAATTGAATTGAACTAAAATAAAATTTAATAAAAATAAATTAAAAAGGGGATTTCACTTTTTTGTCAATGACATTATTTCACTTAAAGAAAAAATATTTTTGATTAAAATAACACTTTAATATTATAACTAACTATTTGATCTTTTGTAAATATGGACTAAATAGGCAGTTTTGATTTAAAGCATAACAATCTTGTGACAACAATTAACTTTGAGTAACATGCTTTTTGTTGTCAATTTTAAACATGGGATAAAATTGTTAAATTAATGCTAGTATAGTGGTTTTGCGATATATGTCAAAAATTTTAATGGCCATTGAAATCAGAAATTTCTTTAAATTAAATTAGAAGCATTGGGACTTTTTCAATATTTGTCTTGATAATCATTTTTTGCATATGAAATACTTTAACCTTGAACCTCAATATTTGTTTGTAAATGGACTCGTCCAGCTTCCATTTTAAAAACTGTCCATTACAAATTTTAGGAATATCAAGATGAATATTTAAAGTTGGTCAGCCAGCAGTCTAGAGGTTGGTCAGACAATTCAAATATGTAATTTGCTGTGCTCCATACTGGTGGTAAAGGACAAGTCACTTTAGGTTCAGGCAGGTAATGGGTTATTAACATCCCTAACAGGACTCAAAACCTAGTGTTTATTTAACTTATAAAAAGAAATCGGGTCAAAAAGCACAAATACATATTATATGATATTATTTGAATTTTTTATGCCATGGTTGAGAAAAATGTGCAGCCTGACCGAGACTCGAAACCAGGACACTCGGAATACCGTTGTGGCTCTACCGACTGAGTTAACCAGCCGCTTACACATTTTCACCCTAAGTAGTGAACAGTTCTTAACTGTGACATTTACATAGATCAGCATTTTGCACACAAGTTATTGGACTTATGTCAAGTATGACATAAATCTTGAGAAAATATTTCCAGTCCTGTGTCAAAAAACCCTCAGTGGAGTCCCTTTAACTTAAAAAATATAATATTTTATTTTGATGGTGACCACAATCTGACTAAAGTTCAGATCTACTTATTTCTTACATGTAGCATATTAGGAATTGGTTTTCATCGGACTGGAGGCATTAAGTTAAGGTATATGTACATGTTCAACTTTACTTAGTAAACTGAATGAACTCTCAATAACAATGGAGCCTGTTTTAGCCACTTGTTCTACAAGACAGGAAATATAAACAACAAACATTTCCTTCTAAAAATTGCACATTTTAATTCCGTCCTCTGACAGTATAAAGTTCTTATAAAGATACAACATACAATAAAATATATATGCATGATAGATGTTTGAATACATGTGAGTTAATTTACATATCTGATCAAATGTATAATACAGCCTAATATACAAAGCAGAAGTATATAATCTTTGACTCAAGTTGGGCACAGTATTGGTTTGTTATTTTTCCCTCCAATTATTTCAGTCACTGAACAGCCACTGTTTTTGAACATAACAACTAAAAAAACTCAGGAGACTCAGGTCTCCTCAAAAATAGTTGATTTTGAGCTCAGTTTTTAATTTTCTTTGAGATGTTAAATAAAGTGTGGAGATTAACAAGTTATAAGCAAATTAAAACCACTATGATATTTTTAGAACTGGCAGACAAAAGATGGTAAATTAAAGGAAGGTTATACAAAACTTCACTGATTTCTTTCAAAAAAAATCAATTTTTGAATAAAAATAACACGTTCCTCATCATTTAAACTGAATCTACCTACAGTTGTATGTGACCAGTGCAGACAAAGATCAGCTGTCACACCAAGTCTTCTGATCATGATCATGGTCAGCACTGTTCGCTATTCAGTCAGTACTTATTTTGAAACTCTTCCTATAAATGACAAATGGTTTTGTCCACATTGAAAGATGGACAAGTCCATTTTAGATATTTAGCATTGTCAGGGTTAAATCCCAACACCTATATCCAACAAAGAAATTCCTGACTACAAACCATCACATAGGAAAATAATTGGAAAATCTGACTTTTCAATTAAAGAAATTATTAACCTTCGATTAACATTATATTAACCACAGCATAAAGTTAACTCCCTGAATAAAGTTATTATGTACATCGGTTGTCTAATAAACATCAAGAATTTAAATGAGCCTGAGAAATTTAACATTTAACTGACAGTTTATAATTTGGACGAAAAAATTAATTTCAAAGGATGAACAAGCAAGAAAATCAGACTCATAAATTAAGGGCTAGGAACAGAAAGTTGTTATCTCTAATGAAAAGAATAAAATAATTATTTGCCACAGAGTTAGTGTAATGTTATATAAATAGCTAGTAACAATTGCGTAATTTTTTAACTCAAAAACACAGCAGAAATTCCTTCCGTCTATTACCCGTCTTGTATTTCTAGTTAATCAAATGCCAAACATGAAAACCAATCTACAAATAACTTATCTGGCTACATAAAGCAATACACAAATAAAAACTGAAAAAAAAGAGAAAATATAACAGATCTGTTTTTATTTAAAAAGAAACAGTGTAATACTTTTTTCAAAAATGCTTCAAAAAAGATAACTATGAATTGGTTAAAAAAGCATCCAAGAAACTGGACGATAGAATTATAATCATGATTTGATTATAGGAGATGTGGAGATGTTATTATAATGGGCAACATGGTTATTGTTTATGTACACTAGGAACTTCATAAATCTTAATACATGTATAACAGGTATTCAGGTAAGCCCATAAAACATTTCATACAAATAAACTTGTTACATATCTTTGATTAAATATTAAGCATTTATACAAATAAACATTTATTTATTTAATTTATCTGAAATTTTGAAAACAATATTCCATGTTTTTATCACAAACAACTGAATAATTCAAATATTTCAAGATAATGATTATAACACTTACTTATTCCCATTGGGAACATATTTTTAAGCATATATTTGTGACAAATAACTTTTAGCCTACTGAAGTAATTCTACTTGTATGGTCTAACTCGACTTGTAGACTCAACTTGTAGACAGGCAATCATACGTAGCTTAGAGTAAACAAGTTGTATCTCACTAAAATGTATGTATATTATTTCAAACTGAAGACAGTAACCTGGTCTTGTCTCATTTTTAACAAATTATAATAGAGCTGTACAAGGAAGTCAACACCCTTTGCCAGTTGTATAGAGCTGCACAAGAAAGTGAACACCCTGTGCCAGTACAAGAGCCAGGTCAGTCAAGCATATTCACAAATTCAGACAGGACTCTAAAACCATTTGACGCCATTTTTAAGCTAAGCAACTAAAAGTCTGCACATTGCCATCCAGTCATATTCTTTTTCTTTCTTTTTTTTTCCAAAAATAAATATATGTATAAATACAGAATTAAAGTGAAATGTTTTGGCATTATCATAAAGTCTTATTAAATGACATTTTTAACTTTGATCAATACTGGCTCAGTAGAGCTTAATTCAGCTTAAATCATGTTATCAATCAGCTTGTAAGAAAATAATAATTTCTCCCTCATTTTCTGTTCAGATAACAACAACACACAAATCTTATAACCATATTTTGTTGCCAATTAACAGATTCGTTATTTAAGTAAAGATCTATAACACTAACAGCTGGACCACACCGTCACGTTGGAATTATATACATGGTTCAACATAATTTCCAGGAAACAATCCTGTCTGTCCGTTCAGCACACCCTCGTACCAGCCATCATCGTTTTTCTTTAGCACATATATAACAGAGTTTTCTGTGAATGTTAGTTCATCTTCCTTGTCCGCTGCATAATCATAAATTGCGATCACTGAAAATATGAAAAAATATAATAAATATATATAAGTCACAATCACGTCAAATAGATCAAAGCTTTAATTAGTAACTAAATATCTATAATATAAATGGAAAAGAAAATTCGTAAATCAACAGAGGGCATTCCATGGGCCCTGCAGATATGGTGGCAGCTGTTATACACCATAAATATATATTTGGATTCTTCAACATTTTACAATAGGCAAGTGAAGTTAATGAGAAGTTTAAATTTTAAAATTATATACATTGTGAATGATAATAACACTTAGTAGTTTATAATAATATTAGCAACACTGAAAAAGCTTAAAATGATTCTCGTTTCTGAATGCACAAAAAATTGACATGCATCTGCAGGGCCAAAACACCATTTTTGTGGAAGGGGCCTCAGCCTTTTTCTTGAGGAAAATATGCGTGATTTTGGCATACTTTGGGAAAAAGGGTCTCAAATTTAACACAAACTTTTAACAAGTTCTTCAAAATAGAAAAGCAACCAGAGCCCGGTTTGAGCCGGGTGATGCTCCCCGAATAGATTTTGGACACAGAAAGTACACCTCTTGTAGTTTCAGAGTTATGTCCCTGGAAAAAGTTCAAAGTGCAATAATTCCAAAATTAGGCAAGGCAGAGTTACTGTTCTTTGCACTGCACTTCTAATCAATGTGATCTATCAACCTACAAAGTTTCTTGATGATATCTCATATGATTTACGAGTTATGTCCCGGACAATTTCAAAAAGTAAAAATAAACAAAGGGCAATAACTCCAGAATTAGGCAAGGCAGAGTTATGATTATTGTGCACTGCACATCTACCTATTAATATATATCTACCTGCAAAGTTTCATGTTGATATCTCTTATAGTTTTACAGCTATGTCCTGGACAAGATTTTTCTAAAAGGGGAGATAATTCAAAAATGAGGCTTAACAGAGTTATGGTTCTTTTGCACTGCACCTCTACTCAATGAGATCTATCTACCTACAATGTTTCATCTTGATATCTCTTATAGTTTTAGAGTTATGTTTCGGACAAAGTTCAACGTGTTAAAATAAACAAAGGGCAATAACTCCAAAATTAGGACAAAAAGAGTTATTGTTCTTATGCACTGCACATCTACCCCTTGAGATCTATTCACCTACAAAGTTTCATGTTGATATCTCTTATAGTTTTAGAGTTATGCCTCGGACAAGATTTTTCTATAAGGGGAGATAGTTCAAAAACCGGGCAAAATAGAGTAATGGTTCTTTGACACTGCACTCCCCCTCAATGCCCTCTACCACTGTATGAAGTTTCAACAAATTATCTCCAAGGGTTTTCAAGTTATGCTCCGGACAAGACAACGGACAGACAGACGGACGTTCTAACAGGAGAGTAATTATGTGGCTACTCTATTGTTCTCTCTATTGTTCTTTTTAGCCACACAAAAGAAAATAGCCACATAAAAGCATTATGGAATGAATGACATCAAAGAGAAAGAACAGTTACCTATTCTCCCTCCAGCCACATAATTACTCTCCTGTGAGTGCGGACAGACAGACAGACGGACAAGGCGCCGACTATATGCTCCCCCGAAATTTTTCGGGGAGCATAAAAAGCACTGGGAAAGACTTATAAGGCAGTAAAAGACCTTAATTCAACACCATCATTTAATTTTGTTCTAAATTCTATGGGAAATTTCAAAAGACTGGGGAATGTTTAGGACCAAACTGGGGAAAAAAGAGGCTAGTTTGGTTGGGGAAGCAGCCTATATTCAGTTTCTAAAAAGAAGGGTTTTTGGCCCTGATCTGTCAGGCTACTCAAAATCAGACACAGAATTTAAGCCAAATTCTTATGTATATGTTCAAATATATGTATTAGTTATGAACTGTAAATGTTTCTGTTAAATTAAACTTTTTTGTTGAACAGAATGAATTTTTAAGTGAATTGGTCTAGGTAAAGGGTTTTTTAGTATGTAATAACATAGAAAATTATGTTGATAGTATTCAGCTTCAACAAATAATGAAATAACAAGAAACTTCGAACGACACATATGCCTCCCTTTCTAGCCCTTGGCTCACATTATTGGTAATTTTGTTAGAGATACTTGCCATAAATAGGTACATGGAAGTGTTCAATTATGGAAAAAAGAAGAAATAATGAAGACTTTGTAATAAATAGTTTTCAAGATAATGAGACATTTAAGGGCCCTGTGACCTAGACCTTTGAACTAGTGACCCAAAATCAATAGGGGTCATCTAATAGTTATGACCAATCAATACAAGACTATGAAAACTTTGTGATAAATAGCTTTCAAGATAAAAAACTTTGTGATAAATAGCTTTCAAGATAATGAGCAGAAACCATACTAACATTCAAGAACCCTGTGACTTTGACCTAGTGACCAAAAAGTCAATAGGGGTCATCTACTAGTTATGACCAATCAATATGTGAAATATGAAGACTTTGTGATAAATAGTAACCAAGATAATAAGCGGAAATCATATTACCATTCAAGGCCCCTGTGACCTTGACCTTTGACCTTGTGACCCCAAAAGCAATAGGGGTCATAAATTATCTATGACCAATCAATATGTGAAATATGTAAACTTTGTGATGAATACTTTTCAAGATAATCAGCGGGAACCATTCTGACATTAAGGCCCCTGTGACCTTGACCTTTGACCTAGTGACCCTAAATCAATAGGGGTCATCTACTAGTAATGACCAATCAATATGTGAAATATGAAGACTTTGTGATGAATACTTTTCAAGATAATCAGCGGAAACCATTCTGACATTTAAGGCCCTTGTGACCTTGACCTTTGACCTATTGACCCTAAAATCAATAGGGGTCATCTACTAGTTATGACCAATCAATATGTGAAATATGAAGACTTTGTGATAAATAGTAACCAAGATAATAAGCGGAAATCATATTACCATTCAAGGCCCCTGTGACCTTGACCTTTGACCTAGTGACCCCAAAATCAATAGGGGTCATCTACTAATTATGACCAATCACTATGTGAAATATGAAGACTTTGGGATAAATAGTTTTCAAGATAATCAGCAAAAACCATGTGGTCTACCGATGGACAGACTGACAGACAGACCGGATCAGCAAAACAATATACCCCCTCTTCTTCAAAGGGGGGGCATAATTACATCATGGTCATTACTGTTTGCTATTCTATAAAAAAAATTCCCATAAAATGACAAATTTCATGGTTGTGTCCAGATTGTAAAATGGACAAGCCCATTTAAGATATACAGTGTGGTAAGGGCTAATCCAGACGTATTTAAAATCTGTTATTGCTGCATTAGAAGATTCTTTCAGTGAATAAATAGTTATCAGCAACTATAAGTATTCTAACTTTAAAATAAAACTCTTACTTTTAATTCTGTTTGTGCATTACATTTTGAATGGTCAGACATCAATTTTTTTGAAATTATCAAAATGTTAAAAGCAAACATTTAACTATGTAGTCACTTTTAACTGTATGATGTGTACAATGGACTGGTGCTAAAGTGTAGTAAAGTGATAAGTTTACAGATTGTTCAGCGAGTTTAAGTGGGATATTTATTAATTACCTTTCTCAACATAAGCCTCAGGAACAACAGTTGTGAACATGTCCGGTCCTGTAGCTGCATAGGGGTCCTCCTCATGTGCCATCGGCATTACATCCTGGTCATCATCAAACTGTGGGGGTGGAAGTGGCAAGTTTGAACCTGAAATATCCACGACTACATGATAATTGATAGTATTATCAAAATTATCTACCTGCTACAACTTAAAACAGAATGCTGTTACTTTTCATAGTTCATAGAAACATACTTGATGCAGTTTGAATTGCTTATTAATAATAAGTGTGTTATACAACATCCATTCATATTTAAATATAGGGGTGTGACGTACACTTATAGCAATAATAAAATATTTCAAGGATAAAAAAATAGTGACCTTACATCTATCTCAAAACTGTAACAAATGAATTAAACTTATTAGGATAAAATGGGAAAGACTTTATATAGGTGATATGTAGGTGATATGACAATCTGCTAGATAGATTAACAGAATGGGTGATGAGGAAACCTACTGAAAAGAAATGGAATGGGAGGAAAATTAAAATAAAAGGTGAAATTGCAACTGGAAAGGATAATATCTTTTAACGTTGTGCTTCTTTGACATCTTAGGTATACCAGTGTCAAACTTTAAGTTCTAAATATTTTTATAACACTACAATATTTTCTGTTAAATCAAATATTGACACATTGGTGCAAGCTTTCAGGCATTTGCCTGAAAGTGAAATTCAGGTTTTTTTCTACTCTTGAAAGCTCTCTCTTTTCTATATAAAACCAATTGAAATAATACTGAATTCAGCTTTTTCAGGTTTTCTGATATTTTTAACTTGCATTTGTAAGTCAAAAATTTTTAAATAACTAGCATGTCTTGGATAAATCTCATTTTCTGGTATTGAAATTCTGAAAACTTCAAATCGTTAACACTTGGCCTGCTGGAGGCTACCAAATCTACACATGTAACCAGTACAGACCAAGATCAAAGGCCTTACAAGGCTTTATAACTTATGTAGCTCAGTTTTAGTAATTTTATAAAGAAAACCCATTAACTTCTATTGGACTGTACCAGTTTCAAATCAGGGCAGGTTTCACATTTTGCAACTCAAGAGGGGTAAATATTTAAGTACAGTAGTGTATGAACATGTAACTACAGCAAAGTTTGTGTATTTCATGTGAACAGCTTTTATGAAATGATGAAGATTTGTGTCACAATAAGCCCTCTAAAATGATATTACAAAAAAATTCTAACACAACCTGTGTTTTTCACTATTGATTATAGAAGAAATCCGAAAGTATGTGTTTTTATGCATTAAAATCACTGTTGATGTTCTATATTTAGATATGTGATGTAATTATTTTACATGTGACGTAACCACTATAAAATCCAACACGCTGAAAATAAGTACAGAAACAAATCAAGTGCAATTTTGCTTAATATCAGGTAAGGCAGCATTTATTTGTTGATGTTGTGTTAGAATCGAAATAAAATATCCAAATCTTTGATTCTATCACTTGATAACATCACTGTTCAGATGAGCATCATATCACTTGGGCTACGCTAACGTGATACAATTCCTCCCATCCGAACTCCAAACAGTGATGTTATTGAGCGATAAAATCACTGTTTGGGATATATTATTTCTTAAACAACAAGATTAATATTGTCACTTTATCTTATAACAGTTTATACTCTAATTAACTGTTTTTACACTAAATATCTTAAATGCCAATAAATGGACTTGTCAATCTTTTAATCATGACAAAACCATTCATCATTTTTAGGAACATTTTCAAAATAAGTCCTGATTTAACAGCAAACAAAGCAGGCAATGATCAGATGACATGGATGTGCCAGCCAACTTTGGTCCGCACTGGTCACAAGTGTAGATTCTGTAGCCATAAGCTATGGGTAAAACATGTTTGTAAAATACCAAAAATAAAAAGAATTCCACAAAAGTCTGACAACAATTCCATGTGCATTTAAAACCCGCAACATATTAGCCAAAACAAGAGCTGTCCGTAAGACAGCGCGCTCGACTTTTTTATTGCTTGCCAATAAAAAAAGTTTTTGCAGTAAAAGGCGAGATAAAATGTGAAATATGCATATACTACTGATTTTAATTTCAAGTACAAAAAGAGAAAAATAACTAGTTGTTTGATACCCTTGAATATTACAGCAATGTTTATATGACATAATTTATGGTAAAGTGAACAAGTGGATAGGAATGAATTTTTTTAGATTTTTTAAGTTTTTTAGTGCTTGCCTATAATACAAAACATTGACAGTTAAGGGCCATAATTCAAATAAAATCTTTGACAGAATTACCTTTTCCTGGACATGTTTGGGAATCATGATTGTAAACAAGTATTCCAACTTTCAAATTAATATCTCAAACAGTTCAGTCAAAAAGTGGACTGGTACTAAAAACTTAACCAAGATTCTAAGTCGATAAAAGGCCTTAATTTTTAAAACAAATCCTTGACAGAGTTACCTTCTCTTGCGTACAGATGGGGGTAATGATGTGAAATAGCATTAAAAGTTTCAAAGCAATATCTCAAAGGGTTAAGGCAATAAGTGGATTTTACCCATATTCAATGTATTTTCTAAGTCAAAAAGGGGCATAATTCTGTCAAAAACTTTGACAGAGTTATGTCCTCTTGTCTTTTGATGAAGGTCGTGATGGTAAACAAGTATGGTCAGTTTCAAAGCAATACCTCCAATGGTTTTGAAATAAAGTGAGGTGGTACAAAAAACTTAACCAAGCTCAATACACTTTCTAAGTCAAAAAAGGGCCATAATTCTGTCAAAAACCTTGACAGAGTTATGTACTCTTGTCTGTAGATGGAGGTTATGATGGTGAACAAGTATGGTAAGTTTCAAAGCCATACTTGTAATACTTCTGAAATAAAGTGGGGTGGTACGAAAAACTTAACCAAGGTGTGACGCCGACGCCGACGCCGGGGCGAGTAGGATAGCTCCCCTTTTCATAGAAAAGTCGAGCTAAAAATGTTACATTTATAAAGTAAAATAGGCTCAACTAAGCTAGCCTAAACATGCATGAGATTGGGATAAAAGCAAAAGCCATCACCAATATTGTAACTGCTTTTAAAGCAAAACTATAAGAGAAGGAGGTTATAAAATCAACAAAGAGGGGAAATACAAATTAATATTTGATACTTATAAATGATAATCTTACCTGACTATATAATTCATGATTTAATAGGAAGCTTACTATTAAGGGTACATTATCACACATTTCTGTTCTTTATGTTACCTAATCAACTGCTTTTACTAAACCTTTAATTTACTTTAAAATATTCATCCCATCCAACCCCTATAACTTTTTAAGCAAATGAAAGAAAGAAACTTTCTTCAAAAGCAAATTAAGATTGACTAAATCTGATTAAAAATTGTAATTGCAGTAACATAGAAATTTTTGTCACACAAAATGTAGCTTAAAACATATATGACTTTTTTTCTTTTACAGTATATAAGCTACATGTATTTGAATTTTTTGGCCAAGAATGAAAGAACAAGGGACATGCAAACCTTCATCAAAGCTCATTTGTTGGCTCTCTCGGAGAGGGTTTTCATCGTCTGGCGGTGGCGGTGGTAGATTCTCTGCAACAAACCACAACATCATAGCACAACATCAAATATATACATGTAAAACACAAGCTGCGCATGAAGTACTGCTCATTACCATGACAACATTCAATGCATATTTCATGCTTTATACATGTACAGATAGATCAGCATGAAATGTCTTGCAGAAATGAAAGAGGAAATCAAATATAACAATAAAGATGTCTCATGACCTGTGGTAAAAAATACATGTAACATTAATTAATAATTAAATATCAATTTAAACATTATAATGGGAGCATGTATATTTGCATTCAAGGTCTCTTGGATCCAGAAGAAGTAAGTGCCTATATTTTTTTTTTTAATTTTATAAGATGAATTTCTACATGTTACTAAAAGAACCTAGAAATTGTGCAAGTGGCATTCATCTGACCGTATGTTTGAATATATAATGCAGTGGAATTGAAACTATTATTTTGCCAAGGAGAAAGTGTTTGTCTATACCAACGGAGAATAATTTTGTTGCAAGTTCTAGTAACTTAAAGTAAGGTGATGTGTATATCTAATACTACAAATTCAAACATGCTGTTCTCTGAATTAACAAAACCTAAGTTTCTCATATATTACTGCACCAGTAACATGTATTTGTAAACTCTGCCCCCACCCCCAATACTCACTGCCCACCTTCCCAAGATATTAACTTGGGACCAGGAAAGCAGTGGTAAAATCCCCTCCTGGCAAGGGACCATCAGATGATAAAATCTCTACATGTATTATCAACAGCTAATTTTGGTGTAGAAATAAAACCACTGTTTCTGGGCCAGCCGGAATATAAACACTCAGTTTAATTCATCCTGCTATCTCCAACATCCATGTAGGGTGGGGGGCGTGTATTACAAAATGACTCGTGCTGCTACATAAGTTTAAATGGAATGTGCATGTTTTTTTAAATATGATTTTTTTTTTTAATTTTGTCAAATTTGTGCAATACTGCTCCATATTCCTTGAGAGTGCAAACCAAAACAAAATAAAAAATTATGATAAAATGTGAATGTAATTTAGTAATTCTCTTAACCACAATTAGTGGGGAAACTAAATAAAGACATATAAATACATGCAATAAGTGGTTAATAAAGATAACAAGTATTGAGAATCCCATTCATACAATATTTAACAATAACAATACAAGATAATACTAAACATGCTTTGTACATGTACCCACGTCGTGCCTCATGCAAGTAACATCCATATCAAGGGTCCAGTTTAAACCATTTTTTTTATTAACATCTTAAGAAAATCACAAGTGACAACCATTTTAGAACAGACCCTTGACATAAATTTTTAATATTCAAACATCTGGTGTACATACAATTTTCCTTATGAACTTTAGTAAGAAGCTTTAATATAAATGATGCATTTCTTTTCAAATATATTTCATACTGGTACATACTATATTAATTAAAACATGCCCTGACAATCCTTACCAGTAACCTATACTTTCTTTGACATATTTCTTAAAAATTAATGTTTGGAAAAAAAAATAATATTATAATACTTTATAAAACATCTTCACATCTTAAAGTTGATCCATGAATGTGTAACTATCATTGCTTCAACAAAAAACATACCAACAGAAGTCTGTCTATTAAGTTGGGAGGTCCTATCTCCTGGTGGCATCCCTGGGGGAGGCGGAGGTGGTGGCATAGCTCCGCCCTGAGACTGAGACATTGGTCTAGCCACGCCTAGCGGAGGAGGGTGACTAGGCAAGCCTGACTGGTTCTGCATCATACCTGATGGCATTTTTGCTTGGCCCATCACAACACTCGGCATGTATGGCGACCCTCGTTGTAACTGTTCCCTCGATGCATACCCTCCTGGTACGGTAGGTGGAGCTACCATAGGTGCAGGAGTTCTGCAAATAATGGAGCTATATTTTTAGTTAATCATTTTCATATAAGAACAACAAGCTTTGGTACAAAATCCATTTTTGAAAAACTTATGACAGATAATATTCTTATTATGCTATTTATGAAAATATATGCCATTATCTTTTAGTGAACAAGCTAATAATTGAGCAGTGCCCAATTTTCTGCAATCCTGTTTAAAACAATATTATTATTTTGCTTTAACTGTCAAGATTATCAGATTTCAATCAGAAATACATTTATGAGCAAAAGTTAGGCAAGTTATTAGCTGTTTAAACCTGTAATTTCCAGCAATTTGTTGACCACTAGCTCTACCAATACTGCCATGTTGACTACCACGGAGTTGTGGAGGTGTGGGGGGCTGCTGGGTGGGCGCCTGGGAGGATCCGCTACTAATGGAAGAACTTCGGCTCTGAGATGGACCTGACTGAACTGATGGACCAGTCTGTAAAAACAAACAAATACATATCATCATATCCTCAAGTACAAACATATACTGTAATGCTAATGTAAGTGTCTATTTTAAGATTAAATGTTCATAGGGACTTCCCACTATCATTTTAAGATGGGGATTTTTTTAAAAAGAATCGGAGATTACTAGAAAACACATGGTACATGTATTAAGCCAAATTTACTAAATATTTAGTCTGAATAAAGATATAATTATTTGTTAAAAGAATATTGTTGTTAAATTTAGGCAATCAAAGACAATTTGTCAAAACTATAAATAGAGTGAATTCTGCAATACCCCATATCCTAAAATAGACACTACACATGTAGGCGCACATTTACATCAAAACATGAAGACTAAAACTGCATATACATGTAACTATAACTAAAATTCAAAGTATGCATTTAATTTTTTTTTAAACAAATAAGCTTGAATGAAATATGAAAATATACATAAAACTTAAAGGAACATATAAAAATAAGCAACTGAAAATAAATATGACTTGACAACAACATACATTAATATGTAACAAAAATATATTTCCGATTATATATCATATCTTCATAATAAATGTATTATTTTTGAATTAATAATGAAATCTTTTTTAAAAGTATAGTATTTGTCTAGATTATACTTATAATGACACTATTAGTAACTAGGTAACAGGTCTGTCATAAGTCACAAAGATAGTATCACAGAAACTTCAGGAAAAGTTATGTCATGACTTTCCACTTCTCCTTAGAAGTAAAGACCGCAGGTACCTCTTTGATTATTACCTAACATATCATATGTGATCGAATAATCAATATTTAGCTACCTGTATTCATGCCTGGTAAACAACAGAAATACCTTTTTCAGAGGTATACAATAAATTGCAAAAGAGGAATATATCATATAACTCCAAAACAGGAAGCTCTGTTGCTTACCAGCATGTGTATTGCTTTCTTCAAATAAAAATTTTCAAAATCCAGAGCAAGATGTGACTCGAAAGCAGTGACAAGGAAGAATGTGCCATATGTGATTTACACTAGGATTTTAAACCTATATAAAGATATAGCAACTTCATAAGTGTACAAAGGAAATGAGTATCTTATATTCCAAGGGTTTAAAGTACTATAACTAAACTACACGTGATTGGTTTAAATCTATATAAAGGAGTAACTGTATGTAAGAGTTTAGTACCAACAATAGAAGATGTGTGAAAATAGCAATTGTTTTTGTTTGTTTAAGTTCTTAACTTGTAAGGTGTTAAATAAACCAAACTTAACTTTTAGAATTATTTCAAATTTAAATACTTAGTACAAAAATAGACAGGTTGTTTGGTTTATACAGAATTTATTTTAGTTTCGATTATGTAGGTAGCTATAAGCTTATAGACACACTTTTGAATCAGTCCCTGGAACCAACCAGTACTGAGCTTAAAGTTTCTTGCTCAATGAAACAACGACTTGCCCCTGACAGGGTTTGAACTCATGCAGCTTGCAATCATTAGATTACTAGTTCGTCACGTTAACCACTCGGCCATGCCGCCACACAAGGTTGATTCACAAACTGATCTTCTTATGCATGCATGTATAAATTTTTTTATTCACAGATACAGAACGCCCATCCCCCTCACTTTAATGGCCAAACTTTAATCTATTGGGGCTAACAGGCAGAACAAATCTGAGGGCTGTATAGTTTAGTCAAAGCACTCTGGTAATTAATCAGAAACACCATTTGCAGTCAAGTTCACAGTGACCTTGACCCCTAAAGGTCATTTACACATCATCTGAAACTTTAAGCCAAAGCACTCTCAAGGTCTGGTCTCTGTCAGGGTCATAAGGGTATATGTTTTGCCATAAGCTCTGGAAATTCTGAGAAAAACTAAAGCAATGCCACCTTCACCAGACACACAAAAAGAAAATCCTAAATTCTGAGTATACATGTTTCTATAATTTATATCAAATAACAGTAAGATGTACAAGGTAATGTAAAAACAACAATTCTAAATTGCAAAATTGCATAATATCTCAATTTTTAAAAATAGTTCTTATATGTGCATTCTTTACAAACATGTAGATCTTATTCAACAAGAGTATAAAGTCTTATAAAAATTGATCATTGCACTCTAAAAACAATTAATTTGTCAATAATCATCTTGCATGTAATTTTAAAAAATGAAATTTCCTGGAAAATCTACAAGTTTTAAAAAATATCACGTTTACGGCAAATAACAGATGCCATCTAGCACACCTCTAACACTACACACAGAAAAAGTTTGTATGTCTGCCTTTATTGGCTTAAGGTTCATAAATTATATATGTATATAATATTTGTATCTTAAAATCAGACAGACCTTATGCTAGTATTTCACCTCAATATTAGATTTTAAGAAAAGCGAGAAAAAAATGCAAGTAATATAATCAGTATCTTGGTTGAAGAAAACAAATTACATGCACATAATTAAAATTGTAACTGTTAGCTCCTGATAAATTTTCAGGACTTTAAATGAGAAAAAAAGCTAAAAATTGGAGGGGGTGGGGGACTTCATTAGAAATTTATCAACATTTTTAGCGCTATTATTAACAGTGACTTGCCTTGCCACTATTACATGTATAATGTATATAACCATGCCAACCTGCACTTCAATGCAGTCTGATTGAATAATTTACTGTTGGCTGTCCAGTTAAACTTTTTAAATGGAGACACAACCCTTAAAATAGCAATGTACTTTTCCAAATTCAAAGCAGGAGAACTCCATTTTGCAACTTTAGCAGTGCATTGGTGCAAGGATTAATATTATCTCTGAACCAAGCAAAAGCAAACAAATAAAACTTGTTATGCAAGTAGCTTACCTAGTAAAATATGATTTACACATTTCATAAAATAAGTTCTTGTATGTGAAAAAGCAATACAGAATGTTAACTTATAGTTTTATATTGTTGTTTTTTTTTGTTAGTTTTCAAGAAACTGTTTCCATGGAATTGGTAAATCATAAAATATTCTTATTTATGGTATGTAACTAAAAATACTTAATATATATACCCTTATATAAATTTCTGGATTTTCTGGTGACTGAAATATCATATAATGTATCATATAAATAATAAACATAACAATCAACCCATCAAAAGCATGAAACACAAAAATAGCTGTAAAAATAAACAGGCAATTACGGTAAAATCATCGAAGTTTGAGAATTTGCAGACATAGAATACATGAAAGTAACAAAAATTATATGTAGCAAATTAAATGAAGCTAAGAAAAGAATTGAAGCAGAATTTGTTTGATTAAGCCAAAGGAATTAAATCATATTAAATGAAAACAATAAAAAGATGTGTAGGTAAGCTTCGTCCCAACAGTTATAATACATGTATTCAGCAGTGTACAATAAACATACAAAAAGTGGGCTAGATATAAAATTAAATAGGTGCATTAACAGTAAACATAAATTTCAAAGGCATATCCATTCTTAAGGATAAAATACCAAACAAACAAAGCAAATTAACAAATAATACTTCATTTTTGAACTACATATAAAAATAAAATGCTTTTATTAAACAGACAGGTAGTAAAACCTAATATCACATGCAACACTGAACCTGATCCATGCATCTAAACCTAGAATTGATTATCTTGCATTAGGACCAATCACACCCGCCCCTTCCCCCCAAGTTGACTCAGGACTTCTAGTGTCTTTTACCCTTTTATATTTTTGAACATTTCCAAAATTACTGGAATGAACTATAGAATATGTGTTGCTTATATTGATTTAAAGTTCATATTTTGTATAAATAATATAAAACAAACACTTTCATTGAAGAAAATTAACCATGTTAAGGTAAAATGATTTCTTTAAGAACATCAATTAACAAATCAATTATCAGATATCAAATTCAATTGACAGATAAATTATTCTTGTAGACAAATAGATGACACCGTGAGTGGGTCAGGTATACAAATCTTGTTTGTAGCAAAAGGGTAAAACACTAGATGGATTGTCAACTGATTAACATTAAAGCAGCACGTATCAAGATTAACTTTAACTTTAACAAAAAACTTTTAAGTCACAAAAAAAAATCAAACTTTACAAAAATACATATAATGTTTGAGAATTATCTAAATATTCACTATCAATTGAATGCTTAAAATGCTTGACATGATTGAAATTTATACTTGAATCACAATACATAACTGTCCTGTTACTGATAAAGGCCTCAGGGCTGATTTGGGAATTTTTTACACATTTTAAAAATTTTATTCAGATTTGTTAGTGTCTATTGCATGCTTGAATTACTGAATTTATTTATATGACATAGTTTTTCAATTTTTAAAACATTTTCAAAAAAACTTTTAACATATAAAGAATATCCATTAATCTGGAGGCATGCCGCTCTACATGTATGTAACATCAATAGTAATACAGAGTAAATTGATTGTTCGTCAAATAATTTATACATAATTTGTTCTGCAATCTCAATGAATTACAGAAAAGTTACATCAAATAATCAAACTACATTTCCCACTTTTTAAAAATGATCATTTAGTTTTTCAAATACATACCTTCACACCATGTCCTATGTCATCTAAAAGTGTGTAGTCAATATTTTTTCTCTGGTATTTAGTCGGTCTTTCTCCATGTTCGGGGAATATTATACCATTTTTCACACCCAGAGGCCGTGTAGTAGTTCTGTTTGTGGTAAGTACTCCAATTTCTCTTCTAGCAACCTTCTCTTTATGTATGTTCACAGTCTGTTATATCAAAATTGAAAGAGACATAAAATAACATCATCATAACACTACATGAGTATGGAAACCCAATTTTTTTTATATTCTAATATTGCATTTAACGACAAAAATATGTATTTTACGTTTTTCAAATGTTCATTCAGACTTACACAACTAGTTATATTTCTTGTGTTGTATAACTGAAATATATACCAACTATTCCAATTAATATTAATACCCTTTGAAACGATTATATAAAAGGCTACATGACAGTTTTTGTAACAACGACAATGCCACAGCTATTTAGTATTATAATAGCTTGACTCTTTCTTTCAAACAGACAAGCTTAAATGTCAGTCACTGGCATGAACTGTCATTTACTTAAGACACTACATTTACCGTAACTTACCTGTGCTAAATGGTTTACATTGGACTCCATCTCAGCAAGCTGATTTTGTTGTAGATCTAACAATTTGAGAAAGTTTGTAGCTAAGTTGTTGATCTGGTATGCTACACTAGCTAATGAATGAGTGGTAAAGTTTTTAGTTTCCTCCAGAGCTTTTTTCTTATCCTTTGCCTAAAACAGCAAAATTAAATTTTAAAACTTTGATTGATGAGTAACTATCTAAATAACTTATCGACTTCTCAGTAAATCCAAGTGCTCTGAATCTTATCAATATTTAACAATATAAACATTAATAAAATTCTCTTCAATTAATAAACCTAGATTTAAGTAAAGAATTACACATTTAATGGTTGAATTTTTATTATTAAAATAAATCTAAATAAAAATAATAAATTAAATTAATGTAAATTTTTACCCAGCAAATATTAACCATCATAAATGTAAGTTATAGTTTGAAATATCTATTTCTATACTTTTATGACTTATTTTATATACTGTTACAGTTTAAATAGTAAAGTTCATGTTCGTCATTCTCTTTCATATTTGGGTAACTTTTTGATCACAGTAAATGAGTAATTAATTTACAACCAAAAGATCAGAATTTAATTTTTTTATTAAAATACATATATGTATATATATGATACAAGTAATTTATAGTCCTTGTTGACCTAAATAATCCCATAAGAGCTGATTTTAAGAAAATAATATTCATATTCGGTACTCCCGTTCATATTCGAGAATATGAATTCATATTCGGTTTTTAGTCATACCGCAGTTAAAGTGTGGGTAAATAGAACGGTAAAGGGTCAACTCGGCCCTATACCAACTTGGCATGGGTCAACTCGGCCCACTATTAATAACTTATATTAGGATATAGATTGTTTAGTTAAAAAAAAAAATTTAAGGAGTAAATTATTATTAAAGTATTCAGAAGTACGATCACTAATTCACTTACAAACAGAAATTAAAAAGGTTGGCAGTGTACATGTACGTATTGCTTGAAATTATCTTTGTTAAGAAGAGATATCAATACAATACATGTTAAATATTGATCCATAAATAAAGCTTTTGCATTGAATTTTTATGACAATGAATGTTATCGTATTTAACACTGCAATGTTCGAAATGAGCAGTAGTCCTATAGCCCCTGACTACTAAAATTCTCCTCGGGCTACAAACTTTTCATAGAAACAAGCCCAACCAGGCTATTGTATTTTCAGAGGCAATATAAACAACTGTTTTGAACAAATGAATTGTGCTAGTGAAATGTCTTTTAGGCTAGTGAATATTCCAAGATTATCTGGTAGTCCGATTAGCCTAGTGGTTTCAAATCCTAATTTCTTACACTGACACTCACAGGCGCTAGTCACATAATCAAATATTTTACATAATCGGTCTATATATGTATATAAAGATATAAGGCCCCCAACGAAACAAAAACATCATGCAGAACAAACAAGAACACTGCTGCAATAAACAACCAGATCACGGTTATCTCTTTCTGGTCGCCATCTAAAAGGATCAATCCAAGTGCCAACGCTTTTTATTTAATTAAAATCACTCAAATAGCAAAGAAATTGGGAAAAGTTTCGCAAAATGCCAATATTTTCAATTCATGTCGTTTTCGACGTCCAGTCCATTCATGTATACAAACACGATTTCTGATCGATTTTTACGGAAAAAAACAAAAACGGCTAGAATTTCCACGTACGTTCCATAAACAAACTCTTTTCCTATCGATCTGCGAAGTCTTCACTGATCAAATGCCCTCTTTGTACGTATTTCATTAAAAAAATACACAAGGATCTCGCTTGTGACAGTATTTTATCGCCATGTATAGCGCATGTATATACTGTTCCGCTCTGAATATTATATAAGGATTTGATTGGTTAAGATAATTACCGGAATACTATTGACCAATCGTATAATACTATTTCTTTGCTTCATTTATCTGTCACTTCAAATTACAAATGGCACACTTTACTTGACCTCCGCTTCTACAACCAATATTTTTTAAATATTTGAGTACAAAGAGGGCTCTAGTTCAATTTAGACTTCGCAGATTGATAGAAAAAGAGTTTGTTTATGAATTTTATGAGGAAATTTTAGATGTTTTCTATTTATTTCGTAGAAATCGACCAGAAATTGTGTTTGTATACATGAATAGATTGGACGTCGAAAACGACATGGATTGAAAATATTGGCATTTTCTGAAACTTTTACTCATTTCTTTGCTATTTGAAGTATTTTAATGAAATAAAAAGCTTTAACGCTTGGATTGATCCTTTCAGCTGGCGACCAGAAAGAGATAACCGTGATCTGGTCGTTTCTTTCAGCAGTGTTCTTGTTTGTTCTGCATGATGTTTTTGTTTCGTTGGGGGCCTTATATCTTTATATACATATATAGACCGATTATGTAAAATATTTGATTATGTGACTAGCGCCTGTGCTGACACTGTTTGTTCTTTAAAACCACCAATGCTATTTGAACGATATTTTTTACTAAAAACATCTGAAGTAGACAAAACATGCATATAAATTGTAAATTAAGAATCTATTCAATGAGACTGTCAAATAACTGTAAAGAAATAAGGATGTGTTACCCCACCCATAATTTTTTAGTACCTGAATGTAGTTTTCTTGGCAATATTGAGCAACTTTCTCCAAGTTATTGAAATTCTCTTGAAGGTTTTGACGACCTTCAGGAATTTCCTGCTCTATGAGTTGCATTAACTCCGACATTTTGTTCTTAAAATGTTGTAAATTATCTTATTTTCATTTCCTGAAAAGTGGGTCAAAATAAGACTTCCTGTTTAAAAATTATTAACGAATGTATCTTATTATCGTTGTCATCGTCAGCTGTGCTTCTCTTAGTTCACGGTACTAAAAGCTTTGAAACAAGAAGGAAAACAAACAATGAACTAGACTAACGGTACCAAAATATTCATATGCTCTAACATTTAGATATCTTCTGCTGTATGACACAAGGAAACAAAACATCTTCAATCAAAATAAGATTTAATCATATGTCGGCCATTTTGAAAAAGTATATCATCATTAAAATCGCGGTAAATAGTGTTACACTCTAGTTTTTTCATGTTTCACATAAAATTATAAAATGATGTATTGCTCAATTTTAAATATTAAAACTATCTTTAATTTGTAACTCAAAATTGACTTTTTTTTCAACAAACTAGAACATTAAGAAATCAGACGTATGCATACATTTTAACGGACTAGTGTGACTAGTGTGACTTTTCTAGAAATGAGTAAAATGTTGTTCTGTTTTAAAAAATCTACAGATTTAAAATGTTTTGTACAAAAGCTTAGTTGTTTAGGTGTATGCCTCAAATATTACAATTTTGACCATTATTAACAAATATTCCATTACCATGAAATAAGCGATAACGCGAAATTAGAGATGTTGACTATAATTATTTGCTTCCCTCTATAGTCTATATAGCCAAGTTGAGTTGAACACAAACCCTTTATATAACTTCATAATAATGTTATCATCTAAGAAAATTGATATATTCATTCATTAGCTTGTTGTTTTTCCTATCTTATAGCATGATACCCTGTCAGTCTAGTTTATCACTTGTAATTTATTCTTTAGATGAAAACATTTCCAACCCAAAATAACATGCTTTTTGTAATTTAAAGTTTACTTTTAATTTTGTAAGAAGAAGATAGCGGATAATATGAGGCTGGAAACTTTACTGCCCTTAAGTATGCCTAAAGACCAATTTAAATAAAGCCCTACAGGTCCCATATGAGCCAGTTTTACAAAAAGTTTGACAAGTCAAGGCCATTAAAACAAATAAATACAGTCCGTTTACATCGCAACTCCTAAGAATATGGACGATACCTGGCCACCAAGTCAACAAATACAGTCATATGGGCCAACTTCAGTTTATCTGCGAAGAATGACAAGACCCCTTTTAACTAAAGCTACCCAAAACACAATAAAATGATCTATTCAATGTTATTTGTTGAATCTTAGTATGCGCTTTATTGTATTTTAAATTTCACCAGTTTGGGATATTCTTATTATTAATATTATACAAAATTGAAAAAAGAAACCGCTGTTTTGGCTAAAATTTCGTTCCAAATTCGCCTGTAAAATAAACGGAAAGAATGCTCATGCATATGTCAGTCGTGCATACGGAAACACTGATTTCATAAGTTTATCAGTCAGTTAAGCTCATCCGAAAGATATGACCATTTATTTTTCTCCATGATGCATATAACGGCCTCATTGGCCTCCCTTGAATTAAAATAGTATCGTCACAAAAATCGACTTGCATACATATTTAGTACCATTCAGTGAATTACTGAATTCAAAATTTATATTTCACTTTTGGTTGATAATAACATTTCAGGACATGAATGGTGACATACACAAAACACACGCACGCACACACGCATACACACAAACATCAACAACAAATAAATGAAATCAAACCAATTTAACTGGCTACAGTTAATGAAGAGGAATAGACAGGTATTCACCTCAAATCTACCATTGTTACACATGGTCGTTTGCATTTTTTTGTTATTTTTTTTATCAGCAAGAAACAAAGATTAGTGTTAATATCTATATAATACAAATAAAATAGATACAAATAAAATAGATACCGGTAATCACTTATATTGGATTTTTTAAAAAACAAGATATGTTTGATATTGCTTTTATCTTTTTAACGTTCCTTACATCAACAGTCATGTGTATGTTTTATTAATTTCGCCAGTTATGTTTTCTTTATTTGTAGAAGATTTGGAATTGTTTTTACAAGATAGAATAGATTGTGGAATAAACTATCAAAATATTTGTTAAATATGATTACTCTTTGCAGATGACATGGTCATCTTAGGACTAACTCAACTCTTGCAACAAACTTTATGAATATTGTAATAAATGGGTCCTTGAGGTAAATGTTCCCAAAAACAAAGACAGTTGTGTTCAGGAAAAAAGGCCGATTGAAAAAATGACGAATATTGGTTTTGTAGAAGTTGTAAATGATTTCAACTATTTAAATTACACTGGGAATTTTATCTTAAATACACATTGTATGGAAAAGGATTAAAGACAATGAATACTCTTATTTTGAATTTAAAGAGATACAATACTAAACCAAAATTAGCCTTACAATTATTTGATGTTTTTGTTTCATCAATTATTACATACGGTTGTGAAATATGGGGCTTCACTAAGCAACTAGAAACATTACATATAATTTTGTAAAACATTACTTGGTGTTCGCCGCTCTTCTTGCAATGTAGCTATACATGGGGAATTAGGAAGGTACTCTCTTTATATTAATAGATGTGTACATATTGTTAAATATTGTATATGTAATTAAATATGTAACAGCAAAAATCTGATTGTAAAAACTTTCGTTGACAGTTCCATTGTTGATTCTGAAATGAATAAGCCAAATTGGTTTTGTAATGTTAAAAATATGTTAGCCAGATATGGATTTTTAGAATATTTAGATAAGATTATCTAAATATTGTTCTTAAGCTTAAGATAGCTTTTAAAAACTACGTATCTCAGCCCAAAGTCTTCGTTTCCAAATTGGAAGGTTCACAAATAATCAAATAGATAGAGATCAACGTTATTGTCAAATAAGTAATTCAAATGTAATTGAAGATGAGTACCATTTTGTTTTTGTTTGTCCATAAATTATAATAATTCTTTTAAATATATAAAGAAATTTTACAGAAATAAGCCATGTATGTTTAAATTTGTTAACCTTTTAAATAGTAAAAAAATAATTTTCAGAATTACTTACGTTTAGCAAATATTATTTCGGGGCTTTTAAAGTTAGAAATAAAATTCTTACAAATCTGCCAATGTAACTGTTTGAAGTATGGTAATCCATTTACAATAATATCATATTCACAGTTTAATGATTCTCCTTCTGAACTGTTAAGGTATTATGTTATAGTTCTAATTTTCTTTACTTGAATTCAAACATCAAAATGCAAATACACGTGTTTTTTCTTTGCTTTTTTCTTTGTTCTTTAACATACAATTACATGTTGCTTTTTTGTTTTTCATTCTATAACGTATCCATGTTGTTTTTAAGAAAGCATTAGTTCATTCGTTATCGTGTTATACATACATTCATTTTCATCATATATGTATCGTTCAATATTATATTATATAAATAAATTATATTTATTAGTCTTTGTTAAACACGAGAAACTGTTCATTTTACGTGTACTAAAATTTGTTCTTTGAAGGAGTAAAATAAAGTATAATGTAATAAGTGTTGTTTTAGCTGTTATCACTGTAGTACATGTAATAAACTTCGAACATACAAACAAGCTGTCATGAACTTCTTGAGTAAGGCTAACTTTTTGCGTCTCATTGCTTCTCTTTGACCTAAATCCATTTTGGAGCGGGCTAATTATGTTCAACAAATCCGTGCTCGACTCGTACAAACTAACATGCTAGAACTATGTTTTGAATATTTCTTGTGCCGTCGTTCATTCTTGCATAGCGTTCAGAACAACAATTAAAATAATCATAAAATCGCCTTTTATCGGGTGCTTAGTTTAAGCATTTTCAACGCCTTGTTTATGTATCTGAGATGTTATTTGCAAATAAACTTAAAATGAATGAAAATGCTCCGTATCTTCCAGTTATCAATCTAAAAGCAGAACGTTAAAATTTTAACAATTTTAAACAATATTTTAATGCTGTTAAGGATTTTGACTGTGTCGAATTTGACCAGAACTAATGGCTGATAAATGACCATTGAGTTTAACACAACAACTTAATTTATGCTAATTAACAATTGCTAGCATTTCATTGGACATTGTTTATTGATAGGTAAATACATTAATTTCTCATGGCGTCTTAATGAGGCATTCCATAACCGTTCAAGATTAATTAATGGAACACTTATACCACATTCACCTGGAACCCCCGGGTCGCTAATGAGGCCCCAGGGGAGCTCCTATTACCTTGTAATTTGTTGATGTAACCAACGTATGGTGAACTAATTAACTCGTTAATTATAGATTGTGAATTGGGTGCACCGTTCTCCTATTCTTCTATTTTAACGATTATACTTTTAGAACATTTTAGGTTTTGTAAATTTATCTGTCATCTGTATTTTGTGTCCGTTCACGATTGAAAGGTATAGTTATAGAACACCACCTTACATACATATTAAATACATATATAAAATCTTACATGTTGGTTCTTATTGCTCTACGTCGAGCAATTTATAAAAGACAATTACACTACCCAATGGACAATAATACAGATTTTCTGATTAATCATAGAATTTTCCAAGTACCACTGTGCAATCCTAGAGTAGTTAGAAGTTATGTCCATTTATAGAGATGAACATAAGAAAAGCTTTTTCTTATTTTGGATTTACACACTTTGCAAAACATCTTTTATATTAAATGGACTCCACTGAGGGTTTTTGACATGATGGAACTGAAAATAATTTTCCAAGATTAATAATCCAGTTGATGTAGATCTTGACCAATAACTTATATGCCAAATGTCAGATCATTCGTTCGCTCCGTTTTTCCAAAATAATGATTCTTATTGTGAAACTTCGAAATCGTTGTAACGCACAACGCGTTTGACTCAAATCGGGCAAAGGATAACGAAAAAAAAAAAAAAACGATTTCAAATATATTTCTGAGTACATTTCTTAATTATCTTTTTCATGTCTTTCTGATTTACGTTCCCCAGGTGATCTATGTAAAAATTCAAATTTAATATCTTTATGCTTTTGGACCACAGTGAAGTTCCTATAATTCAGCAATATGAAATAGCATAGTTCATAAGTATTCCTAACCTTAAATCTATTACTGTTTTATAGAGGTATTTTTAAATACATTTGTACGAGTGCATTATTAAATGTATAACGTCAGTCCTATGTTCATCAATTAAACTCTTTATTTAGCTAGTCATTGACAATTATAATATGTCTTTCTCCAATAGTTTATATAATTAAAATACATCTATATTTCAAAACATATCGTTATAATCTGCAAGATTGATTTGTTTAGATACAACTTCCGGAAATGACATACTTCTTGTTCACTCCAGGAGACGCTAAAGAAAGTGTGCTGTAAGATTATGATTCACGTGAAATGCACGCATAGTGCTGAAATGTTGTAAACAAATTACAACCACCCAAAATATTTTGAATCTGCTCACAGACAAACATCTCAAAAATCTCCAAAAAAAGGTTTCAGTTTTTTATAATCTTTTTTATCTTGGTAAGTTTGTAAATGATGTAAACAAATGTTAATTTTTCCTGTTGAATCTAACGCTGTTAATGTTTTAACTGCATTTAGGGGGGGAGCAATCTGACTTCGTTAACGATGATGATGATGATGATGGTGGTGGTGGTGATGATGATGATGATGATGTTGTTGTTGTTGTTGTTGTTGTTGTTGTTGATGATGATGATGATGATGATGATGATGATAATGAAAACTATTTTGCATATTGCAATATAATTATACAGGTTATTTAAATGTTTTGAAGTTTTACCTCTGAATACAATATTCACTCAAAAGCCTATTCTACGCTATTGTTGAAAGTGAATGCATTTATCCGCTTATTCAACCATGGACAGGACCTATTGAATGCCAGAAACTTCAAATACCCAAACAATGATTGATATCATAATACCAAAAATATACTGTCAGAATATGTATTAGCATGTTGTCATTTTTATATTTGAATTGAAATGACGGTAGGATCAGAATACTCATATTTTTTTGAGTCCACATTTTTATAGGGTATATCTTTCCAGATCGGAAGTTTTACCATCGCAACATGACAGATTTCAATCTTATCTCATAAAGTTTGTGTTTCTCATAACAAACGGTTGCTGAGTTAAGGAGAAATATTGCTTCTGACATAAACGACGTGTTAATACGTGTTCTTGCAGCCTATCTTCACACAGTATTTTGTTAAATTATGGAGAAGAGAGAGGTATACATGCCCATCCGAAGGTATTACTGCGCATTGGTCATGTTCTATTATTATTTCAGTTTTCAATTTTTACTTGATTAATATGATTATCCTGCATCGAATAGTACCCTCGTTTTAGAAGAAAATATTGAAGAATAAAATTACCTATTCAGATTGAAGCAACAAATCACAAAAAGCTGCTGTTTACAGTTAAAAAATAAAAAACAAAATTTCGCAATGCTCAGAGAAAGAATTTATCTCTTGAAAAATTAGTTCATGAATGTATTTTAATTAATGGAATTTTTCATTCAATGTGGCTTGTTTTGATAAATTGTGTGAGGCTTATGTTCATACTTTATTTTTGCTTTTTATTTTGACTATCTTACTATTATTTGCATTTTTGATTATTATCTAAATGTATATACATTGTACATGTACTATTGTATAAAGTTTTAATATGTGTATTAATCAAAAGGCTATTTTTTCTTCATGCGTTTCTCATTTTATTTTTCATATATATTTAATCGTATGAAACTAATTTGAAAAAAAACAACGTCTTAATTCAACCAAAGCAAACAAAAATTACAGTAATTCTTATTTTGCTGTCAGTTGTTAATCAAAGATTAAAATGCTAATTTCATTTTTGTGGCCATTGTAAGGCAATTAATCAACGCTGTCCTTTGACAAAATATAAAACAATACATGAGATAACAATAATTTATGTTATTACCACCAAATGTTCCTATCATGATTATCGTCTGCGAGTGATCGTCTGCGAACAGCTGTAAACAGCTGGTATAGAAAGGCGTGATGCGGTTCCTACCGCGGAAGGATATCTCTCTGAAACTAGATCCCAGAATTGCCGAAGAATTTTGACAGCTCCATGACTTCAAGCCGTAGTTTTCCAAAATTTCTTTAACAGATGAGTGTGAAAATAATTGTCGTATAGGATTGCCTTTCGTAGATTTATGAACTTAGATTTTAGTGAGAAAACCTAAATTACAGATTTTTCTGATTTTCTCATTTGTTTCTATAAGTCTTTTGGATTACTTAAGCAAATTTTGCACATTTCGTCTGCCGAATCTGATTTTCTCATCTATTCATCAAAATTACTTTATTTTGTGAATAATTATATCAATGGAAGAGCCAGTCACTGATTCGACATCGCTCACAAACATGAATCTGGATTCTGGTGCGACACAGACTTGTGCGACAAGTTCTTACAATTATGGAATGGGACGATTCTTTCAGAGACCGAGTGCTTTTGACTGTATGCAGGGAAGTTCGGGAGTTGGAATGGGGACGGCCCCTTATTCATACCCGGCTTACCCAAGCGACTGGGGACTTATGTCCCAACATTATTCACACGGATTTAATCTAAACAGACCACTTGGACTTAATAACATCGGTTCAAATTCTTCTGGATTTTTAAACAATTTAAACAATTTTTCTGTACAAAATAATGTTAATTCACGGGATTATAGTTCAGCTTTCTCAGGAATCGGTTCGTCGTCGTCGGCATTCTCTAGCACAGGACTTGGAGGACATGCTCCCGGCGGGGGCGCGATAGGAAATATGTGTGCTCCGGACAATTTCAGGGGACAATGTGGTACTCCAGAAAGTCAAAGTAATTCATCACACGGCAGCACATCTCCGTGTTTACCCAATATGGACCACGTCGAGAAACTCGACGGTAAAAGTAAAGGTAAACAATAAAAATCTGGCATTCAGCGATATGATTCTCTTTTAAGTTTTAAAAACTAACAAACAAGACACACAAACAAACACTCACTTTTTTAAAAAAAAATTTACATAAGACTGCACAGTCTTAGATAATTTTTAAGTACATCCTTAAATTCTTAACGTTAATTTTTTAAATTGAACGCTATTTTAGTAGATCAACAAAATCTTTCTTCTTCCGAATAAAAAAGAATGAAAAATGATTTATTTGATTTTATGTTCTTTTTTTTATCCAAATGATTGAACGTTATAGCGAAATGAGTGAAAAGAAAATCTTATCAAAACATAAACAAGGAATTTTTAACCACCACCTAATAAATTATTTTATGAATTGTTCAGTAACTGAGAAAAATATTGAAAGAAATAAATGCGTAAGGACTATGCCAGCCGTTCAATTATTATTATTATCATTATTATTATTATTATTATTATTATTATTATTATTATTATTATTATTATTATTATTATTATTTGTTATTATATAAGCTTAATATTTTAATGTGTTATCTACTGTCGAATATCACATAATATTAAATATTTCGGAAAATTTCATGTCAACATAATTTATTATGTGAAATAAGAAGATTTATTTATTCGACAAAAATTGTTTCCCTCATGCTTATAAGAACTTATACACCTATACATTTCTTGATTCCCATCTACACATTAATCATGCAAATTTCATTTGAATGACGTCGAATTAATCTAACAATTTTATTTTGTATGACGTATCAAGCTATCTTGCTTATTTAAAAAAATGAAGAAAAAAAAGATAAATAAAAGATAAGAACATGCAATTTTTTTACAGAAATTCGATTGACGTAGAGCATTACGTTACCACTAAAGATTTATTCACATATTGCGTTCAGCAAACACTATATCGTATTCAAAAGTGTTTATAAACAAACTGAACATGTGTTTTATTTCATTTTAATCCACATATTCATCACGTCCTCTCATTTTTTTTATTTACAGAAAAAATCACATGTGGTTATTTTTTTCTGACAACCATGCTTTTTAAAAAGTATTTAGGATTGCCAATAATGTAAGCAAAATATTAACAGTCCTTCCGACTTTCTTGGATTGTCTTGAGAAAAAAGAACATTATACCGCTTTGTATACAGTTATCATGCCATCTTTAGGTTTTACAACTAACATATTTTATTAATCCTTTTAAAAGAACGCTTTATAAAACTACCTTATTCATTGTACACTGTAGAAGAAAGCGGGAACAATGCCATATTTTTTTCCATTTAAATTAATACTATGCTCAACCTTGAGCGAACTATTTTAATCGAAAAAATTTGATTAAAAAACCTATTTCGAAATAAATCAAATGACACCATAAAACTATGCCCAATTGGGGTTCAACAAAATCTTGTATAGGACAAGAAAAGTTGGGTCTTTTCTTAAAAAAAGCTGGGTGTTTTTTAAACGACACTTAGGCATAGACCAAATCAAAGTGAGGACAGGCATTTTTAAAATCATGACATATCAAACTTGTGTGAAGTCAAAAGAAGACTGTGTAGCAAAAATCAATATTTTCTGATATCAAATTTGAGCAAAGTATATCTTTAAATCAAATGACATAAGTGTCAACATATATCAAATGACACAAGCATCGACAACTAAATGAAATAGTGAACACGAAAACATTTGAAAAGCAATATTACATTTGATGCTTTGTTATGTACATGCATAATAAAAAAAAACAAAGTTTATTTCGAAATTGCAAACATAAAACGTTAAAACGTGTCATGTTGGCCAGTTTTTATTTTTTATTTTAAAATGGTTAAAATAACTTTTGCATACCCCTATTTTACATTCTTTTTTACTTTTTTTCTGCATTTTTAAAATGAACGACAAAAAATTACTTGTATCTTTTTTTTTAAAAAATTTTTTTCGTTTGGGAAACTGCTTTTTAAAAAACCCCAAAATTTTCTTTATCTGACACTAACAGTTTTTTCTAAAATTAATAAAAATTTTTGTTTTCACTTTCTTATAAACATATAAACAATTATTTTGATTATAATTTTTCCAAATTTTTTAAAATTTAAATTTACAAAATGTCGAAACATTTTGGGGTTTTGGAAAATGGCACAGGGGTTAGAAATTTTAATTTTTTAAATTTGTTTACGAACTAGTATTAAATTTAGTTTGTAAAAACCCTTCCAAATTTTTTATTAAAAATTGAAAGGGTTTTTACTCGGTTTTGTTTGACAGTTCATCCGGCAATAGAAAAACAACAATTAAAACAAACTTTTCATGTAAAAATCTTTTAACAAGCAAGTTTTAATAAAGAAATTTTTTAGTTTTTTCTGTGTTTTTGTTTTTAAACCTTATGGTTTTTTAAATAAAAAGCTTTTTAAATGTCTTTTTAAAATATTTTTTTAAACCCCGAAAAAATATTCATTTACATAAAAATGAGAGTGGGAATAAAAAACAGTAGTTAATTTTAAAACAAGCCTTTGGACTTTTCTTTTAATTACTTTTTCAACCCCCAGCAATCTTCCAAAAAAAAGGAAAATTTTTGAAAAATTTTAAAACATGTAAACAACAATTTTTATAACAAAACATTATAAACTTTAAAAACAGGGAAATTTTCCCTTTTTGGGCACCAGGTGTTTTCATATTTTTTACAGTTTTAAAGAACAGTAAAAAACTAACTTTTAACATTTTTTAAAACGTTTTGTATGAAAAATATGATTTTAAAAGTTTCACGCGAGAGCAAATGTTTCTTATTTTAAGTCTTGGTCTGTTCATGTGAGGCAATACAAAACGTAATATCTAAAGCAATATTAAATCGATATACCAAAGCATTGTAACAACTATTTTGATAATGCAATTACCGTTCATTAAAATACAATGCAATGTGCTTTGTTCCTTCAGACGCCCGTAACAAGTAAAGAAACTGATAGCGAACAGCATGGATCCTGATCAGACTGCGCGGAGGCGCAGGCTGGTCTGGATCCATGCTGGTCACAAACGCATTACGTTGGTTTTGTCGTGGCGCGGCTCATTTTATTTGATTGTTTTTTTACGCCGATATTAATATTTTGGCCATATATCCGCGGGCTTTGAGTTTTGAAGAAAAATCAGAATGCTGCGGGTGATACCATTTTATTTAACATGTTTAAACATATTTTATTTTGGAGCTAGTGTTAAATATCAACAGAGAATTGTCCTTAAGAAAATGAAATAACAAATTTGATACTTAAATTATTAAATGCGTTATAAAAATTCCCATTCATGTACATTATAATATTACGTTATACTCCCAACAAAAAACTGCTTATTCCGCATAAAACGAAGGAGTCTTGTGAGAACTTTTGGTCAGTATAAATATATTACACATATACACGTGTGTTTTGCCGCACATATATCTACATATCATACTATTTTGTTCAGGAAAATTACTATTCTGTTTGGAATTTTAGATATCCAAATGAAAATGTACTATGAAATGTTTAGTACATATCAACAAAATATTATATATTCGATATTTGAAGATCGTTCATCACGATATTCTTGTAGTTTGTGGTATATCCTCTCCTTCTATTTGATCTTTTCTAGTTGGTAGGTTCCAGTATTCCTACTTGAGTACGTATAATGACCCTAAGGATATGTTGCCTGCCTTTAAGATTTGCCTATGACGTATTATCTGTGATATGCAGGCTCCATAACCTCTGATACCCTTTCAGAATGCCCTTTTCAATTTATTTTCTTGAGGACTTTACGCCGCTTTTCATGGAATGACACGGACGTGTTTCTTTAAAAGTTTCATGATAACCACCATATTAACATATCATTTTACCATTACAGTGTTTAAAAATGTTAAATACTACTTGAGGAGCGTGCTCGGGAGCGTGGACTATATCACTACAGTCTATGAACATAATCAATCCAACCGAACCTGCATCATTTTTTATTTTAATTTTAGTATTTTTAGTGTTTTATGCTCCGTAGTCAAAAAGAAGCTTAAATTACTTATAAAACTTATATATATATATGAAAGTGCGGATGTTGCCATAGATATTAAGTTTTCATAACAATATCTTCTGCCGTTCCTTTGACGTTCCCATTTTTCCGTCTTACTGACAAGTGTATTTATAGTAAAGCCAGCGACAAATCTTTTTTTCATCAATTGAAACCTAGTAAAGTCTGCTGACAATGAATATGAGAAAAATATTGCAATAAATCTTTTGTATCTATCAATATAAGCCAAGAAATTCAGCCAATTAGATGTCATCAAAATGCATAATAACAACAGAAATACTATAGTTTATGTAAACTTATGGTACAATAAGGACAACACATAAAAATAATACATGTCCTAATCTTTTTATCGTGGACATTTTGTTACAAATGTTTCAATACAAGATATGTAGCTTATAGTCACTTCTAGTTAAAAATTGATGAAAAGTTTTGTTTTGATAATAAACTTATTACAATTTCTATACAACTGTTGCTTGTAAACTTTTTGAAAAAACTTCCTAAATGTGTAAACAGATTTGGTCAGGTTTTTGTAAACTCACAGTATGCTGAAAGAGGTGTTTATCCTTATAGTTTTTCTTTTTCTCTTTGGTGTGAAAGCAAAGTTTTTAAATACTTAAATTCACTAAGTGCTAGCAAAGCTACAGGCTCAGATGGTATACCTTCCCGTTTTGTCAGAGATAGTCACCTATAATTGCAGGTCTTATAACCCTCATTGTCAACTTGTCTCTTATCCAAGGTGTAGTTCCTGATGATCTAAAGACTGCTAGAGTTGTCCCCCTTTTTAAAAAGAATGATAAACTTTCTATGTAGTCTCCAAGATACTTGAAAAGGTAGTTTATGACCAAGTTGAAACATATTTTAAAGAGAATAAGCTGTTGTATAAATTCCAATCTGGTTTTAGAAATTGTTTCTCCACTGATACTTGTCTCATTTACATGACAGACTACATTAGGCATGAAATTGATAAGG